GGGTCATTGCTCGCTGCCACATCTGAAGCTCCCGGTGAATATTTCTTCTCGGATGGCATCCGTCTGAAGAAGTACAGAGGGATGGGCTCACTGGATGCCATGGACAAGAACCTTGGCTCACAAAGCAGATACTTCAGGTAGCACACGTGATTATATTGTCTCCCAAACACAATGCTGTATTTATTGCGCTTAGTTCCTGCTACAGTTTACCCTCTAATTACAGTTTACCCCATGTTTGACTATAGTTTCACAGCTGCTTATACAGACTAATCCATGACGATAATTAGCCGGATCTTGAGGTTTCTAAAACCCTATAGAATGTAAATAAATCAAATTCATTCTCTTTTTCTCTCTCTCTTTCAGTGAGAGTGATAAAATTAAAGTTGCTCAGGGAGTTTCAGGGGCAGTTCAGGATAAGGGCTCCATCCATAAGTTTGTTCCATATCTCTTCGTTGGCATACAGCATTCCTGCCAAGACATCGGTGCTAAGAGCCTCACACAGCTGAGGTACATGCAAACACACTAATTACTCGCATACATGCAATTATATGTGCAGTGTATCATTTCTAGTGATGCCAAACAAAATTGTGCAAAGTGTGCTTTTTTTTTCCTCAAAACCAATTATTTCTTATTTTTGCAAATCTGATTGATGCCACTAGTGGCACAGAAATTATACACTGCACTTTTAACGCACTAATGCAATGCTAAAACAGACACTCGCATGTTTGAGTTGCATTACAGACTATTTTTCATTATCTTTTTGCCCCTTTCTACATCTATCTCAGGGCAATGATGTATTCTGGTGAACTGAGGTTTGAAAAGAGGACAATGTCAGCTCAAATGGAGGGTGGAGTGCATAGCCTACACAGGTAGTTGAACATTCATACTCTTAGTCTGAAGATATATTACATTATCAAAGTTTTTATTCAAAAGTGATAGAAAATACATCTATACTGCTCTTTTGAATTTTCTATTCATCAAAGAATTCTTTATCAAGGTATACACAATTAAGCAGAAAAACAGTTTTCAGTACAAAATAAAAATAATAACTTGTGGTTTGGTTTCTTGTGAACAAAATCAGCATATTAAAATGATTTCTGAAGGATCATGTGGACACTGAAGACTAGAGTAAATAATGATGCAGAAAATTTTGCTTTGCCGTTTAAATGACATTTAATTAAAAAAAAAAAGATTTTTGTTTTGTTTTGTTCTTTCAGCTATGAGAAGCGCCTGTTTTAAAGACACTACAGATGCCAGTACATGCACAGCCAAATGCACATTAACCCCCATTAATGAACTTCCACACGTGCTTTTGCACATTCAGGCACCCGAAAACACGGAGAACCTCAGCTTCCTCTTTCTCGTCTTCCCAGCCGCCTTTCCTCTTAGTGAGGAGAGAACCCGTGTGTAAATGTCTGCTGTATGTATCAGATGCCTTACATGTCAAAAATTGTTTTTGATTGTAATCATTTGACAAGTTTTGTTTAAAAATATACAAATTATGCCACAGATACGTTTTGACTCTTGTCTTGTTTCATAAAATACAAAAATACCTGCATATGCATCATTATAAGCAAAAAAACAGTCAACATTTACAGTCCTGAGAAGAAAACCAGATGAATGAGTGCAGTTTAATCTGTGTGAAACAGGAAGTGTTTTATTTTAATGGGATTTGTTAAGTTTGTTATAAAAAGAGAACTGACACTTCAATTTAGGTGTGTGCATGTGAATACCTTCATAGAAATCTGCATGTGACATGTAAATTATAACCTAGTTTTGACTTGAATGTTTGTGTGTTTTTTTGTTATAATAAATTGATTTTCAAATCCTGAATCTGTGGGTGTGTGGGTAAGTGGCTGCTAGACATTGACATTGGTACACTATTCCTCATTTTGCAAGCGCATCTCAAGGGAACCAGCCTTCACCTCCAAAACTACCGGACTTTCCAAACAGGCGTTCACACATGCTCACTAATGGACCCGCACCTGGACAGGTTGGCTTGAGAGCACCAGGTGGCTCCTCATAAATGAAATATGATATTGGCCCGTTAGTAAACTCATCCCAGCTGGGACCAGATCTCTTAATGCTTTTATACACAGCAAAAAATGACTGACAGTTGTGTATGATTGTGTGCTGCAGTATTGTCTTTCTTGCTTTCTGAGGAAACTAAAACATTTTTAAAATATTAGAAAAATCACATATCTAGCTCTCATATAGATTTATATTTAGAAGTCTATATATATATATATATATGCGTGTCTATATATATGTAAATAATATGTATATAGCCTAATACATAAATTCATTTCACCTACAATGAAATTAGTTAATCAGCCATAATATATTTTTGCAAAGTTCAAAGATTAACAGAAAAATCTCAATCAAAAGAGAGAGATGACAGGAATTATAAGAAGAGAAAAGAGAAGGGAAAGACATAGATGTTTGGAGGGGGAGGTTGTGGGTAGCCTAGTGAAGAAGTGAAAGTGAAAATGTTCCTCAGATTTCTGAGGAGGAAGTCAGGAGGCATAAATACGCAAACGATCTTTGACAAACTCACACAAGCCAGGGAGCAGAGAGAGAGAAACAGGGAGTGCGCACAAGAAAGAGGAATGACAGAAGCAGGTAACATAGAATTATTCGTCTCATCTATTTCATACTGTCTATTTTTATCTTATGTTCAATGTTTCTTAATCACTTGTTGTTCATCATAGTGACAAGTTGTTTTCTTTCATTCCCCTTCACCTTTCCTCCTTGTTTCTTTCATTTTCTAACTTATCTTCTCTTTTGCTGTAACGTTAGTTGATCCCACTGAAATGGAAAAATAAACATGTAAATGTGCATTGATACAAGCTTTCTCTTAATCATTTGATTCATTTTTCCCACTGACTCTGTCACGCTGTGTTTGGGAAATATAAGGAAATCTTCACATAAAAGACGGAAAGACAGTAAGAGAATTTTTCTTAGTCCTTAGAACTTAGTTCCTCTTTATGATTGACTTCATGTGACTTAATTTAGTTAATTTTATATCCTCTCTTTTCATCTTGTCTTCATTTAACTGGCATTTAACCTCCCTTCTCCTCTCTCCCTCCCTCTGCCCACTCTTTCTCTGATATGGAACAGGTTTTTCAAGATACAAGTCTACAGATGAAGCAAGATAAATAAACAAGTTTGATTCTTTTGCGGAAACATCAAACTTCTTTGTGGTAAAAGCTGTTTCAATGTCATTACATTTTCACTTGCAGTAGGCTAAGGAACACATGATGAATGTAATTGGGTAGAAATTTTGACATGGAATAATGACAAAGTATGCTGGATGTGTTTATCCATGGTGTGTCAGTGAAAATGGCCACAGCAGTCTGGATGGTAACGGAACCCATAATGCAGCTGTTTGGTTGATTGACAGCTGGCTATGGATTCTGTGGCCCTCCTTTCTTGCAGGAGCTTAAAGTTGACAATTGTATTTTGGCTTCATTCAGATATGATATTGTAGGCTACTTCTGTATTACTCTTGAAATGTCTTTGAATATAACTATGCCTATATTTAATATTAAGTTAATAGTTGCTTAATGGTAAGAAAAAGTTTGTTTTGAAATGTATGTCTGTGCAAACTGTGTTTATATGACAAAGTACCGATGTTGCTCTGGAATGACACGTTTTCTCCCGGATCGCCAACAATATGTTACGCCACCGGGAACTTCGTGTCAGCCAAGATTGACATCAATTCCTGACAATCAAAAATCTTCAGAATTTACCACTTTTCAGGGTTCAGTAAATCACACAATCTTTTTCAGACATTTCAATTTTGTCTCTGTATAATTCTTGAATAAATTCAGAACATTTGTAATAACATCACTTGATGACTCATTTTTAGGCCTGAAAAATTCTTTAGATTTACATGGTGTTATAGACATTAATTACAGAGGTTTGTATTTTCAAAAGCTGACTGAGCTGGTTTGTAGATTTTACTCTGGCCAGAGGATATATAGTAAAATATTTGAGTCAGTGTTCCTGTTTTAGTTGAGGACCAAATCCAAATCTTACTGTAAAGGAACAAGTGGTAGCCTATATGTTGGCCCAAGTTCAGCTCAGGTGATTGTTATCTGCCTCAAACAAAGAGGAAGTACTCAAATAAACAACCAAACAACCAGCATTAAAATATGCCTTGGTATGAAGAGTGACCAGATCTCATTTTGATATATTTTTCTAAAGATTCATTATAAACCCTTTACAAATATTGTTTTTTTTTTTATCACTGTCACATAGGAAATATTTTAGTATTCCATAAGAAGTCAATTGTTAAACATTTGTTGTTGCTAAAACGGTTTATAGCTACTGGAAACAATATTTCGGATGCAGTTGAAATATTAAATAGAGTGAAGCTTTGCTTGAATATTGTTAGAGGAATGTGTATTGTGAATTGTATAAAGGAATATGTCACCACCCTAAAACTACAATATTCTCTTATCATTTACTCACTGTCATTTACTCAGTTCAGAAAACGAGAAATTTATAGAATGTCCAAGCTGTTTTCCATAAAATAAGAATAAATGGTGACCATACGTCAGCATAAAGCAAGATTTGTAGTGAACATGACATGCTTTTTTCTTCACCGAAAGCTATCAAATGTCTTGTTATTTATTTTCTTATTCTTGTAATTGTTTGTTTTTTAGTTTGTTTTTTAGTTTTTCTTTTTATAAAGAGGAAAAAAACGATAATTTGTATTTTTGGGTGAAGAATAGCTAGGGCCTACATTAAAATGTAAAAAAGAAAAAAGAAAAAAAGGATAATAACGAAAGTAACCCCTGGAATATCTAAAGGTGTAGTTTAAATTATTGAAAATAAAACTACAGCTTATGAACGAAACGCATTATATCAGAATAGCAGTTTTACTTTCTTTTCTGTAACTGACAGATCTGATTTTGCCACACCCAAAATGGCGCCTTACAAAGGTCGCAACTGCAACCGGGAACTAGTGTTGCATGAAAATGTGTCCCCCTCTAACCAGCGACATTTCTTAATGTTCCGGTCCCTATGCATACATCTGTTTTTATTGGTGATCAATGTGAGCAGAGCACCGCAGTGCTGCTACGTTAAGTCTCAGTAACAATCCGCGAGTTCAGGCACTAATAACAATGTTAACATATTGAGCTTAATCATGGAGGAAGCAGTGCCTTTTAGCATCGTGTCCACCGTCAAAGCGCTGAGCGGCGCGTTGCGGGGAGATGCTGAAAATGAAGCCGAAATCATCCGCGAGCGAGAGAAGCTATGGTTCAAGGAGAGCAGCGCAAAAAACCTGAGAAATCGCGACTTCTTGTCACCCAACACAGTTCTGACGACATTGTACGCGGGTGGAGAGGTCAGTCTGAAATATGTGCATATATGTGCGTTTATTTATTTTCTACGTTATGAGCTCTTCTGGCCTGCATCAGTGACAGATGCGCCTCTCCGCATGGGGATTTTACGCATGGCTTGAGGCACCCTGTTGGATGTATAAAGCTTTTGCTTGGACGTGTATTTATGCATGAGAATTGCCAGAATGTATAAGCCCGAGCTCTGTACAGACACGCAGGGCGCCAGCTAGACTGTTGACATTGGTCGCATCGACAAAACATTTGAACCCTGCGGCAGAAATGATTAACTCTTCACTGCCCGTGACATCTGGGTCAGGGAATGCCAATAATAAAAATAACACGCATTTGGAGAACAGCTAAGTCATAACGACTTCCTGATTCTTTTGGTCATTTGGTCTCAAGAAACCTTGTTTGGTTTATGTAGTGTGAATAATTCAATGAGTTTAAAAGGCGGTCAAGATTTTAAAAAGACATTTTGGACGTTAAAAATAAGGATGTGTGCAGATAAATCATTAATGATAAATACTAATGTAAAAAAAAAATAATAATTGTCAATTTTGATTTCACAGTGATGTTATAATCTTTGCATTCATGTTGTGTTTGTACATTATTCGAATCACCTAACCATTTTTTCAACAAAAGTTTTGGTTTATTGTCCAGGTTCCCTGTGATGTTCTCAGTGGTATTTGCTCTCTTCGTGGCAGCGGTGTATTGCCGATAGGAGCCACTGAGGTGACAGCAGAAGGGCTGCGTGTGTGTGTGGATCGCTGCACAGCATTCAGACGTGTTTTATGTGGAATAATGCCGTATCTGAGACCCGCAGCTCAGAGACAGGGCTGTGTCCTCATCAACTGCCCTGCCCTCCACACCAAACAAGCTGTGCCATCTCCCGATACGCTAGCTCTGGGGCAGCTACGAACTGTTCTCATTGCTGACCACCTCGGGGCACAGCTCAGAAGACAAGGGTATGTGCTTTGACTTTCCTTATCTTGGCATACATTTGACGAAATGGGAAGAGTAATCAACTCTTACTTTATTCCATTTAGGTACACCGTGTCCTTTTGTCCAGCCTTGCCACAGGAGAGTGACATTGTGAACTTCCTGAAAACACTAGGCATTGATTGGCCGACAGTCCCTGTCAGCTGGACCAATGAGGACAGGGAGGAGAAGATGAAAAAAGCTTTAGAGAACTCGACCTACAGAGACAGAGAAATGGAGAGGGGAAAGAGAAGAAGTAGGGGAGAGGAAATAGAGGGAGAAAAGAGAGGGATAGAAGAGGAAGTTAGGATAAACCTTAAACAAGTGGTACAGGACGAGAATCTTCAGGGTTATGATCCCAGTCTTGGCACTTGCACAGGTGAGTTGTAGTACTTGAGCATGTGTGTGTGTGTTTATTAAGGATGTAACGGGTACAAGATCTGTGCCTGTTTTGTCAGAAAATGTCATTATTAGGATTGCATGAGGATATTTGATGTTGAGTTTGACAAAATTGATAAAATTGGTTTTTTTTTTTTAAAGATTAATTTTCTTTTACAAGCATTAAGCAATATTGGTTGGTTATCGTTTGATAATAAAGCTTTTTTTATTTTTTCACCATTAGTCGATATTGGTTATTTAAATACGCATGTTGTTTCCTCTATTTTTACTTTTAGATCAGGCTATTCCTGCAATCATCTTAATACTTAAATTGGTGGTAAAACACTGTTAGTGGTAAATGTAATCTCTAGCAAATCTCAAAATAAGTATTGATTTAAAAAATGTCATGCCTAAATTCACGTTTGGCTTTACAAATAATATGATGATTTTAGCTTGTGTTTTATTTTTAATTTAATAGACGAAATGGTAAACAAATTGATATATCATTGTATATACTATAGAATACCAGTCATTTATCAGCCATACCATTATTGCTAGATTATTAGTAATGATTTTAATATATGTGAATCCCTAAATTTGATGAAAATAAATGACATGCAAAGTACCAACACTTAAAATATATATGTAAATTACATAATAATATTTAGCTACTGGCGTTTAAACTTGATTTGTCACATACTAATGTTGTGAAAAAGAACACAACATTCTGTTCTGTTTTTCTTTTTAACATTTTTACAATTTTCAGTTATGTTTTCAAACTAGTCGCACCAGAGGCATCAAGATGAGATGAACTGAGTCATTCCTAGGGTTTAAGTGACTGGTCTGTTGGATAGCCTCAGTTTTCCTCAGTCAGTGATTTCTCTCTTTTCAGTGCAGAGAGAAGCTTTGTGTCATCTGGCCCAGCTGGACAGCGCTACTGCAGATTTCCCTGTGAGTTAAAAGAACCCTCTGTCTGGCTTGTCTCCGTCTGCTTTAAATTATAGTATACCATCTTTTAGATGGACACTTGTAACGGATTTCTGTACTTCAGGTCACTACGACAACAGCCCTGCATGTCACTTCCTGTCAGGATGAGTTTCGTCAGCAGCAAACAGCCATGCTGTGGAGAGCAACGGGTGTAACGGCAGTGCAGGTTTCACACCCTCTGCTCACACAGACACATTTAGCTGTATCAGCATGCTTTACATACTAAACAATTGTTTTCTGTATATTCTGTCCTGTAACAGGAAGTTTGGTTGGGACATATCGAAAGACTTGTTTAATCCCTCCCCCCAATAGGTTTTAGTACAGAGCCCCGCATATGACATGCAGGAAAAAATCTATATAGTGGCCACTAGGGCTGCAACTCACGGTTATTTTGATAATCGATTAATCTGTCAATTTTTTTTTCAGCTAAATTAAATTAAATATCTAGAAATTATCATACATTAAAAGGTCATTTTAATCCATTATTTAAAAAAGATGTTATTCCACATCGTACCCAATGCAAAAAAACAAATAATTGCTAACATTTTTAAAGCAGAAATTACTAAATAAAAAATTATAATAAACAAAAACACAAAGTTGTTTTGTAAAAATTGTCATATTCTACACGCTTCGTCTGTTTGCCGATTTACTAAAACAAAGGAACGAATTACACAAATGAGTGAATGAAATAGGCCAGAATTGGTTCCCCCTTATTTGACAAAATCATGACCATGTTGTAATTTGTTCACTTGTTATAGTTTAATCAAAACGAGGGAATGAAATAGTTTCTAAATGTAATAAAATGAGTATATATGTCATGTGTAGCGCTCTGTATTTGTTACATCACAGCTAGCCTAAAAAACATGATTTGCTCCCTCCTCATTGGTAGCAGTTGTAATTTTGGTGAAGATCAAGCTCATTTAAAGAGCATTTGATTGGATAAAAGTCTGATCAATGTTTATGTCTGTATTATTGGTAGTTTTTTTTGCACAATTTCTAGCTCAAACGATGCACAGTTGGGTGTGACTACATTTTAGACCATCTCTGATGGCGGATTGTTTAATTGAATGATTGCTCTCTCCCTCTCTATTAGAGATTAGTGATTTGTGGTCCAGTTAAAACTCCCGGCGTTCAGATGAATGCAGCTCAGTATCTTCAGTAAGGAAAACTTTAAAACAGCAACTCTACAACAGCTCTTCGTAATTCTATATCAAAAAAACTACTGTTTTAAGTCTAAGAATTACAGTGTTTGTTTGTGTACTGCTATAGGTTAAGAAAAGCTCAAATGAAAGAAGCCTCAGAAATGAAGTATGGAGACCAAGTTGAAGGTGTGTTCAAAAAGCTATTTTAGTTCATGTAGTAGCTAAATAAAGATTTGTGATGCATGTTAATACCAGATTTCAACTGCGTCTGTGTGCTGGATATCGATTTACTTCTTCCTTAAACTATTTTAGGTCAGACATGGGATGACATCATCAGAGTCATGACCTCGGCCACCGTGAGGTTTGAACTGCTATCCACCGTACACACAAGTCCAGTGAGTATGTTTGCATGCATGCATGGAATATATTGTCCTGCATCAGTGTTGATTGACAAATCTTTTTCAGGTGACCTTAGATGTGCAGCGGGACAGTGGTGTGTCCACAAAGGGCCCTAGGGGTGGAGTCTTTGTCATGTATAACTGCGCTCGTCTTCATACACTCTTCAGCAGCTACGAGAAAGGGGTGGAGCAAGGTAACACACACATACTGTAATGTTTTGACGTGATTTATGATCAAAGTAATAATGTCAAGACTTGGAGAGGTTGTTTTTTAAAGCGTATGAAGTATGACTACACCCAAATCTTAACGATCTGCTGTTGTATACATGTTTAAAGTCCAAACTTTATTAGCCAAATGCTATTTTTTTACTGCTAGTTACTGTTCTAAGAGAAAAGCATTGAAAGGTAATACATGTGGTCTATAACTAAAGACAAAATCTAGATGAAATGTACAGAACAATAGGCAATAATATAGTCTGGCAACAGAGGTGCAGAATTCTAGGTAACACTTTAGTTTAGGGTCCAATTCTCCTTATTAACTAGTTTCTAAGTAGCATGCTTATTACTAGGATATTGGCTGTTTATTAGTACTTCTAAAGCACATTCTAATGCCTTATTCTGCATGACCATGTTCTACATCTCGTAATCCTACCCAATACTTAAATTAACTACTACCCTACTTACTAACTATTAATTAGTTTGAGGGAAATGTAATTAATAGTGAGAATTGGACCCTAATCTAAAGTGTGATCGAATTGGCTTTATGCACAGCTCCACTACTTCCTGAACTTCAGCCAGCTCCTTGTTTCCTGCCTGCCATTATTGGACAAACTGATCAATCCAGGTGTGTCTGACCTCAGTAGTCACAACAACAATAATCAGGCACACCTGAATTAATTAAGTGTGTCCAATAATGGCAGAAAGGAAACAAGGAGCTGGCTGAAGTTCAGGAAGTAGTGCAGCTGTGCATAAAGCCCATTCTGATTGGTTGTGATGTTTAGGGCAGTGTACAATTTTGTGATTTGACTGAAATGGAGAAATCCATTCCCATCTTTCTCCATTGGGCCTTTTGATTACTTGCACGTTAAGTAGGAATGTAACAAAAAATATTGTGTCTATTTGTGAGTAATATCCATGTCAATTTTGAAACATGTAGGTCTTTATCCAGAAATCCCTGGAGGCACAGAGCTGGACTTTTCTGCCCTGAAAGAGGAGGTATGTAAATAAAATTCTGTACAAGCACACTCAAACATGGTTATTATTTTTTTCCTTTTTAAGGGGCTTTCACACTGGCAGTTTAGTTCGGAACGGGGCACGGTTTGCCTGAAAAATTGCTAATGTGAACGCCGTCATGGGACTCGGGTGCACACTGGGGTACCGAATCTGAGACTACCTAGTGCTGCGGTTCGCGTGAATGTGAAAGCAACATGTACTCGGGTGCACACTTGTTCAGGAAGTAAAGTAACCTGCGTTTACGTTTTACTCGGGGGCTCGGACCGCAGCAAGCGAGCCCAGTGTAAAAGCCCCTTTTTGAAAGTATTCAAGGTGCTATGTACTGTATAAAGACATATACCTACAGTGTTTCTATGATCTGGTGGCATAGAAAGTTGTTGATGTGATGGTAATTTTGCCATTTCATTATTAGGGGGAGTGGCTTCTTCTCTTCAATTACCTTATTCCATTCTCTGAGCTACTGGACCAATCAGGACAGGTCCTGGAGCATGAAGGGGGCGGAGCTAGAGTAAATTTAAGAACAGAACAGGTACTTATAAATGTTTGATTGCTCAGATCGTTTTCGTAATGTAAATTAATTCATTTATTAATATAATTTAGTCGTATGCTCTCTGCTGTCCTGGTTTAAAGGAGAACTCCGGCGCAAAATGAACCTTTGGTATAAAAACACATTGGTACCTAGTCGACCGTTCTCTGAGATTTGTTTTCATGATAATCGAATGTAAAGAGTTTTATCTCTAAAAAACGATTCATTCATTACTCTTTGTTTGTCCATCAGGTGTGCAGATTCTTGGTGTCTCTCAGTAAAGATTTTAGTTCTTACTACAACAGAGTTCACGTCCTTGGGGTAAGACTGTTTGGTTGTTTGTGAATCAGTTTAATTTCAATCAGTAGTTATTTATCCAAGGATAATTCAGATTCCGTTACAATCTTTTTAGGGCCCAGGTGATTTAAATAATTTTCACACCAAGGTCAACGATAAAGAAAAAAATGTAAAAAAAACGTTCTAAATGTAAAAGAATAGCAGATTCCTATTGTTCCTATAATGATAACGACACAGAAAATAGTTTCTATATTGTTAAAATCGCTTTCAGAATGACTTTTTTTTTCCCAGGTAATGAACGATAAAAAGAACAGCCAATCAGAATCCATTCTGCTTCAAAGCGCTCAAGCATTTAAAGCGGCAGATGACAAAACTGCACCGCGTGCTTATAATAAACAGAACGATATTCTGCATTGATGTAGATGTAATATAGTTATCTTTATAGCTTTAGGTGTGAATGGGCCTTTAAGTCTGTATTTTGTATATTTGTGTGTGTATCAGCATTTACAATAATTAATGTAATTAAACAAGTTCACATAAAGTTCAGGCCATTAAATTTCTGCTCCTCCTTCTTCTCTTTCTCTTTCTCCCTTCTCTTTAGGAGCCCCTGCCTCATCTTTTTAATCAAATGTTTTGTCGTTTATTGTTGCTGAGAGCATTAAGAGAACTTTACCACAGCGCCCTGGACTCCCTTAACTTGCCCCCAATCCCCCAACTATAGCATCTCCACTGCAGACATTATACTCGAATAGTCACAAACTCTCTCCCCTAACAGCCAGAACCCTTCCATTTGACTTGGTTATTACACTTTCTCCTTTCTCACACCCATAATTGCCTGACCACTTTGTCCAAATAGTCCAATATTCCTCTAAAAAGGTTGTTTTAAATGTCATAGACACAAGGCAGGATAGATCCCAAAATTACTGTCTCTCTTTATCCTTTCATCCAAAAAATGATTTAACCATTTAAATCACCCCTGCAAATGTCAACAAGCAAGATGCTTTCATTCACAGTGAATTTGAATTCTCTTGTACCATATTCATAGATTCTGCCCTCCTGCATGACAATGTATTCTATGTAATAGTATTTAATGAGTGTAAGAGCCCTGCTCTGTTTGTTCAACTCTGAACACATATTGACAGTGTAGCACAGTTGTTCTCACAGTCTGATAGATGCACACACAACAAGGTATCCGTCACCTCTGTTTCTGATTAGGAATCATGTCAACAGGGCTGGCTCTTTCACACAATCATTCAGTATTCTTGAAATGTCATGATCTGGGATGCTACTTCCTTGAATATAAATATAGTCTTATCTGTACCAAATATAAAGTCTTAATTTCCCTCAGTGTCCATCACTGTTTGTGCCACTGTAAGTGTACAGGTGTACTACTGAGAATCCTTGTGTGCCATACAGAGTGTTTCACAGATCTGTGCCATATGTCACAGTATTCAAAATCCTGAGAGTACTAAACACGTTTTTCTCACTCTTCAAAGTTTTTGATAGTGGTGATCTCACTCAATGTATTTTAAAAAGATAAACCCACAGAGACTTAATAATTAAAAGAATGTCTAATTAAAAGAGTGTCTGCCTCAACCTTTGAACGGATGCAAATGTGACTACTATACCTGTACACAAGTCTTTCAACTGTGCAAAGCTATTTTAATGGTGCAAATTTACAATGAGGTTTAATTAGGTAACTAACAATGAACAATATTTTTATTCATTAATGTTTGTTCATAACACCAACTAATGTTAATTTATATCATTCAAATTAGTTTTTTTGGTGTATGTAGAAATGAAAATGACCTAGATTAGCAAATTCTGTAAGTATTGTTCATTGTTATTTCACACAATTGCATGAAATATTATTAATTTATAGGACTTTATTGTTTATTTTCATGTTTTACCAATGCCATAAATATATTGATATAATATAAATATATATATATATATATATATATATAATATAAATATATATATATATATATATATATATAAAACACTTTATTTTATATGCATGCAATAAAATTAAATTGTGACAGTGAAGACTTTTATAATGTTACAAAAGATTCCTATTTGCAGTTTTCAACTTTTCGCAGAATTCTATTAATTGTTTCACTGTTTTCACCCCCAAGGCGTCACCTAATTGATGCCTTGGGAAGCATTTTGACCATGCTTCAATATCTGACGCTTTAGGCGCCCTTTAGCGTCCAGACCTAAACCTATCCCGCGTCATCTAACTGACGCTTTTCCTTTAGCTGAACTGTTTCAGTTTTGCCATCGCAGGAAAAATGTTTTGATTTTAATGTAATTTAAGTTGTAATAATCTTTAACAACATTATTGTTTTGCTGTATTTTTGATCAAATAAGACATTTCAAAAACATTGTAAAAAATCCTTAGAATGCGGTGTATGAAAAAAAAAAACACGGCTTCGATATTTAAATATCTTTGACTTTTTTTTTTTACACCACAGGTTAATATCTGGTTAATTTCTGATACTGACTAATACTGAATCTAAACTCATCAGTGCGTTGTATGATTTGATTATTAATGAAATATGAAGTGGAGCAAGAATTATGACCACGACCGGCATGACGAACATTCCATAATAACTTCGAGTCAGCTCGAGTTTGTAATATATTGCTCCTCTGCAGGACTGGAACATTAATAACAGCCACACGGCTAGAAAATGGCAGTGCAGTGAGTAATATCATTTATTGGTTTAAACTCCAGAATACTATCAGCCACGCTGGCCATATGAAGTCACCCACGGATATCAACAGTTATTTGAAGGTGTAATACCGTAATCTAACCACTAGAGAGCAATCTTGATTCTAGCTAAATCTAGTTCGTTGTCTCTCCCTGTAATGTGGTGTAGGGCTTGTAATGCTGTCAGTCATCATCACTGCTGGGCATCCCTTGAAGACAAAAGAGGGAAGAGAGATGAAAAAGGACTGAGAGAGAAGAAAAGGAGACTAGTGCATGAAAGGAGTTTAAAGAATGAAGGAGAGTACGCTGTGTAATCGCTACAAGCAAAACTGCTGTCTTTTCAATAGGTGTGTGTGTGAGCGAGATGAATGAATGAGGTCAGAAGTGCCCATGGGAATTGAATGATTTTTGTAGTTGTCAGGGATAGGAAGAGAGAGGGAGGGAGAGAGGAGGGGTGGAGATGATTGAGGAGAGTGATATTGATGTATGTTGTTCTTGTTGACTGGTGTGGAGCCCTAGACGCTATGAAGTGGGTGTGGTTTGTGGAGTGCTGGGAAATGACAGGTAGAATGGAGATAGACTGTTACTATATCTGTAAGTGTCGCTCTAGCAGAGTTGATGTCCTTTGTTAAAGTGGCCTCGTATTTGCAGTTTTAGGTAGACCGGGTTTTGCCTTTGGCTTGAAGCACATGAGAGGTCCGAAATGAACACTCAACAAGCACCATATCGAAGTAAAAATGGGCTTTTGTGAGCATCTAAAATGGAGGATCTCGCCTGTTGGCCAGTAATTTTATTAGGAGCTGCTAATCCGTTTTAATCCTCTTTCACTTTCAGTCTGAGCACAACTAACAGGCTTTTAGGAAATCTGAATTCACTTCAAACGTTCTGTTCACACTCGAACAGGATTAGGTCTGATTCATATCAGGGTCAAGTCGACTCATGCCCTTCAGCTGTTGACTGGAGCTTGTTCAAAACATGGCTTACATAGAGTTCTACTAATTATAGTCTGAACCTTGCTGATGTAAATTCACACGTCTTCCAATGACTTTTACCTCAAATGGAAAATGTAATTGAGAGACAATGACCAATGCAGCAAGTGACGCAATGACCTGCGCTAAATAATTCCACTGTAACAAAGTCCTATACTACCAGTCAACTGATTGGAGTTAATAATAAAATAAATTCCATTTCAAATAAATGCTGTTTAACTTTCTTTTCATCAAAGTATCCTGGGGCAAAAACTACCATAATTGCCACAAAAAAGTAAACCTGTTTTCAACATTGATTAATATTAAGAAATATTTTTGAGCATCAAATCAGCATAAAATGATTTCTGAAAGATCATGTGACATTGACTGGAGTAATGATGCTGATTATTCATTCATATATATATATATATATATGGTCAAATGACGTGTAATAGCAGATTAAATTTTCTCAAAATATTGTCAGGTATTGTATTTTTTAATTATTTTTTTCTCAGCATGGTTTCTGATTATTGCCTCGACACACAAATCAATCTAAAGGTGATGAATTACACCACCGATTTCGCATTTCTTTGTTAATTTCTCCTGTTCATTCCCCTCAAATATCAGCCGAGACTGCAGTGCCAGAAGAGTGTGCCTCACCGCAGCATCTAATTAAAACAAAACTGGAGTGTGTCAAGCTTCTAGTGGTTCCAAGTAAAGATGTGTGTGTGTGTGCCGTGTGTTCCGACATCATGCTGAAAAAAAATCTTTCTCAAAGCCTTTGGGTTCCCTCTAACACTGAAGCTTAGAGATTGCGGCACCGTATTTGATGTAGATTTCTCAGCTGAAACTTTTGATAGTTTGACAAATTTAGACTAGCTGAAATCATTCTTGATGTGTTGAGATCTTTGAGACTGCACAAATCTGTCATTTAAAACTGTGTCAGAACAACCTCATGTGATCTTTCCTTAACCACCAAAAGAAAAAAAAAATCCTTTTTTGTTTTTGAAAGGTTGTTTATTGGAAAATGGTCTGCTTTATGAATCTGTGTCATACTGAATGTATTACTTTGACATAGTATTTCAAACAGGGTTGCGCAAAATTGGTTTTAGATTGAGAGCAAGTTCTGCCGAGGAAATACAGATGCTAGCAGTCAGTAGTGTATTTCACACTCATCCAGGCATGTGTGTGTTAACAGATAAGGACCTTGTGCAACAGGTTCTTCTCCCTTCTTCTGTTGCTCCTCTGCTGATAAAAAGGGATTAGAATTACCTAACCATGTCCTGTCTCTTACTTAACCATGTCATGTTCACAGATCTTCCTTCAGAGAGGATGATCTCCCTGGTCTTCTGAAGATAACACATCTTAAAATGTGAGTTGTGTCCCCACAAGACTCAAAAAATGTAAGAGATTGTTTGCTATGTGAAAAAATAATGAGCGACGGGTGTTCTTTTGACTATCTTGATATGCATGTTGATGGTCATTTTTTTGTTTTTGTTTGTGGGCTTGGGAATTCATGGTTCACTGTCTCTGTCTCTCTCTCTCTGTGTGTGTGTCGTCATCTAGTTCTGAGTCCGTCAGGTTTCAGATCCAGCAGCTGGGTGAGAAACTAGCTGGATTGGAGTTTAAGCAGGTCTAAATCCCGAGTAAGACAGCTATGTACCTCTCTCATCTGTTGCTAATCCACTTTAATCCCAGTTCACTTTCACTCTGAGCACAACTAGAGCGGCTTCCAGTTGATCTGAATTCAGTCCAAACATTCTATTCACACTCAAACAGGATTAGTTCAGATTCATGTTAGGGATGACGGATGCCCATGACTGAAGTGTGTTTAAAACATAGCTGCTCTATAAAGGCAATTATAAATGAATGTGCTCCTCATCTTTAGATGTAATAGGATCCAGTAAGATTTGTTCTCATTAATATAATATGGCATAATCTTTAGGGACCTATTAAAGGCGCATAGCCAATTCTTTTTCATTAAATGTACTCCCCTTTTTGGCATGAATGGGGCTCTTTTTTTAGTGTTTAGAATTTTTAATATATGTATACTCTTTTTTGGTTTTATATGGAAGCTTGTTTCCGCCACTGAATAAAAAAATAAAATAAATAATTGCGACTTTTTATCTCACAATTCGGACTTTTTTTCTCACAATTGCGAGATAAAAAGTCCGAATTGCGTGATATAAAGTCGCAATTGCGAGTTATAAAGTCAGAATTGCGAGACATAAAGTCAGAATTGCGTGATATAAAGTCGCAATTGTGAGTTATAAAGTCAGAATTGCATGATATAAAGTCAGAATTGTGAGATTTAAACTATTCTGATGGGGGAAAAAAAAATTGGCCTATAATAAGTCGCAATTGCGAGTTTATATCTCACAATTCTGAGAAAAGATGTCAGAATTTCGACATATAAACTCGCAATTATGTGTTATAAAGTCAGAATTGCGAGATGTAAACTCGCAATTGTGAGAAAAAAAGTCACACTTCTGTCTTTTTTTCTCAGAATTGCGACTTTATATCACACAATTCTGACTTTATATCTCGCAATTCTGACTTTATATCTCGCAATTCTGACTTTATAACACACAATTCTGACTTTATAACTCGCAATTGCGACTTTATATCACGCAATTCTGAGAAATAAAGTCAGAATTGTGAGATATAAACTCGCAATTGTGAGAAAAAAAGTCAGAATTGTGAGAAAAAAAGTCAGAATTGTAAGATAAAAAGTCACAATTCTTTATTATATTTTTTATTCAATGGCGGAAACAAGCTTCCATAGTTTTATGTTACTGGTGTTATATTTAACAATTTAATTATGTATTTATGTATGAATATTATGTTTTGCCATTTTTCTTAGATTTAGGCACAGATTCATGCTTCTCTTTTATGTTTTATCGCTTTAAATCATATGGATTTTCCTATTTTTATTTTCTGTGTTTAGCATGGAGTGCAGTTTCGTATATATTGGAATGTATACACATATAATCTGCTGTGTTGGTGCTGTGACACTTGTGTTTTTGAGTGTTGGGGAAAGGTGGTAAGCAAGAAAATATTTATAGCTGCATTATAATAACTCTGGCTTTTCTGGCTTTTTTAAATGTCATCTCTCTCTCTCTCTCTCTCTCTCTCTCTCTCTCTCTCTCTCTCTCTCTCTCTCTCTCTTCCTCTTACTTTCACACTGTAACTTGCTTGCTCATTCGCCTGCATTTTCTCTTTCCCTCTCTCATTCCATTTATTTTTTTTCTCATTCCCTCTATTTTTTTTTTTTTATTTGCTGATTTGGGTCACTGGCTGACTAAGAGAGACAACTCACAGCTGGCCTATAAACAACCTTCCCCTTTCAGCAGCATTAGTTTACACGCATACACACACAATCTCCTCTCACTCCAGCACTCAGCGGCACAAATCTCTCACATTCTCACGTGGCATCATTTGTTGGGTCTTTTAAAAATGAGCTGTACCACTCTCTTTTCCTTTGTGTTTTCATATCAATTCATTTTCTGTGACTTGAAATATTTATATAGAAAAATGAAGATGATATTAACAAGAACCTGAAAGAACCACAACCCCTCTGCTCTGTCACAGAGCATCTATTTAAATTTGATTGATTTGCTGTAGCTATTTGAAAGCTCAGTATAATTCAGTAAATATCAATAATTATTTTTTAAGTAAAATAAGTTAAACATTTGTGTCAGAAATTTTACGTTCCATTAGCCTATGAGCCTTCCTTTTTTCCATGAATAGGCCTGTTTTATATGCTCCCGTTTACTTTATCATTAGCGTTAATTCGATCGTGATGTTATCATTAGGCCTACTATAACTTTATCATTCGGCTGTGTTTGTGTGTTCATTTTTTCAGCCCTCTGCACTTATATTTCCCTGCCATGAAACACTGCGAACAGCAGATTGCTGTGTTTGTTTATGAAATGGGAGTGATGCGTCAGTAATGCGATGATAACACTTTTTGAAGGGTGCGCGCGCGAGCACGGATGGACTAATTACAACTTTTCATGCAAACAGCGAGTCAGAGAGCGAATGGTCTGCTCTAAGAGTCATTCGGAAGTTAAATTACTAGATCTCCATGTCGAAATCCAATAACCATGCGGCAGATAACGACCATACAGAGTTCGTATTAATCCCATAATCCTCTAAAATTGCTAATGACATCACTATATTCTCCCGTGCAACAGCCGTGGTCGGGTCCTGTGGTGAGGACGTGTGTTGCTGTTGAGTTTACTTTGCTGTTATGGATTCTGGTTGTGGTGGAGCCATATTGAATATTCAGGTTCAGCTCACGTGCTCATCATTTTAATTAATTCGCACTCACCAGGCACAGACTTGGTGTGGTAACAGTCTCGCCATGCTCGGCACAGCACACGCCGCCCAATTTTCACCATATGCCTTCACCCGTATATCTCAAGTGGTCTGTGTGTCTTGAAGAGGCGGTTGCATTTTGAGAGACAGATAGTGTGTGTAGGTGTCAGAAAAAAATAATGCTTGAGATCTGTACTAATGCGACTGCATTATTTAAACCTTTCTGCATGCACCCACGCTTATACAGATGTATAGGCAGGCTAGTCAATAAAAAATGGCCATCACACAGTATGTGTGCGATTATCACTCTCTCTTGTGAATATGTATTATGTCCGCCTGCCCGTTCAGGGCCAGCCGTGACAGATGCTCACTGGGCCGAGGACACCTGCTGCTATGGCCACAGGGGAGGGGTTAGTGGGGTTAGCAGAGAGGACAGGGTTGGGTGTGGGGTGTGTGTGTGGGGGGTGGGGCCAGGGAAGGGGTTTGCCAGATGCAAACAATTACAAATCAACAGTGCTGGTGAGACATGAACAGAAACCCCTCTTCTTGATGGAATGTACCCCCTACTCTTGCCGTTCCCATGGTAACTCATAGAATAGCTGGCCTTGAAGCTGACAGCTTACCTGAATGTGTGTGAGTGTATGTGTGTTAAAGGACCCCAGGTGTGCTCTGTGAAGTGTGCGCCCCTTTAATCCACAGGCTGGATTTTTGGGGATTACAAATCAGCCCATTAGAGCTCTCACTCTTCTCATTTCAAAACCTGCACACACAAAGGCTGAATAGACTGTGTTTTATTTAGTCTCATGTAGATAGGCATCTTATTAATGATTTTGTGCAACGCTGTTTAGTGCAAAGTTGATGCAGGCATGAATATAACAAGATTGTGCTTGATATTAAAGCGCTGTAATATTGGCTCTTGTGGTTTTGGACCCACAGAAATATGTGAGACTGTTTTTTTTTTCACTTACTTTGAATTCCAACTTCAAAATCTACAGAGACCAATGCCTGTGAGACTTGAGCTATGGATCTCAGCAGTCAGCAGAACACCAATTGAGCAGGACATGAGCGCTGTCTGAAAAAGATCAGGTGCTGTACACTCCTTTGGTTCAGGGATTTTTTTTTTTTTCAGTCTTTACATTGTTGCATTCACATTTGATCCCAGATATTCATCATAAGGTTTAGTAATTTCATTAGAGATCATTTCATTTGTGTTTGTGTGTGTTCACATTTACTCCAAGATATAGTCCAAGATACAGTTCACTGGTTCTGAAGATTTTTACCCTGGGTAATTTTTGCATTCACATTAGATCCAACATATTCATGAGAATCACCAATTTGTAACTGGTTTAGATAAAAAAATAATGAACTTGGGGTAATTTTATGAATGGTAAATGGACTACATTTATAAAGCACTTTCGCAGACCCAATGTCCACTAAGGCGCTTTACTTTTGCCTCACATTCACCCATTCACTGACTCATTCATACACCGATGGCGGTGTCATCCAGCTTGTCTGGAGCAGCTGGTTTTTGGTGTCTTGATCATGGACACCTCGACATTGGTCTGGTGGAACCAGGGATTGAACCACCAACCTTCTGGTTTGTAGACAACATAGACCCAACATACTATTGGTTTAGGGATTATTGTTTTTAAATGTTTTTCCTTGAGTAATTTGAAGTATCTTAGTTGCACTCGCATTTGATCCATTTGCATTTATGCATTTGGCAGATCATGATGCTTAAAATGACTTGCTTTCCATTCTTTAAGAGTGACTTTCATGCTTTCCATGGGAGTCAAACCCATGAGCTTGCTACTGTTTGAGCTACAGAAATGCTCATATAAATCCTTTAAAAAATTAGTGTATAAAAAGTCTAATCATTCAGCAGTGTGGGCATTGAGAAATGCTGAAATTCAGATCATACGGATTTTCATGACATGCAAGAATTTGAATTATGGGCTCTGCTTTATTTGGGGGATGATGAGTAACACTAAATATCATTGCACTTCCCAGAGGGAGAGGGTGTTTGGCGAGCCGCTGAATTGCAGGCGTGTTACCCATCAGTCTATCACTCAGGTTTCACAGAGGAAGCTCTCAGTTATGGGAATCCCTCTCCTCCTCACTTAATGTGATTTAGGTCTGCCGTGACTGTGTGATATAATACCATCAAGCGTCTAGACATACACACAGGCACGCCTGCAGAAAGAGACATGAATCTCATCCTCCACAGTCAACGAGGAAAATTCGCAATCATTTTTTTCTGCTTAGACATCACTGGTAGATGCACAAAGAAAGCACAAGTCTTTACCACAGTCATCACCGCTCAGATAAGACTACATCACGAGAAAACAGTGGGGCACGAGGGCAGCTTAGAGGGAGGGAGGGAGGGAGAGAGAGGGCTCGTGCACAGTATAATTGAGCCGTATGAATTTTTCAACATTCGTGGATTTGTTCCAACCGTGTCAGTGGCAGGCAGACTGCGAGACACAGATTGGTTTTTGTAAAGCGCAAGTCTATTTCTGACTAAGCGAGGATTTCACATCCGCCGAACAGGGCTGTGACACGCGCCTCTGAAATTCTCCCACATGCCATGTGATTTTAAAACAGGAAAACAAAAATCATAGTTAAAAAACGTCTCCATGTCAAACAATACATTTAGGTAGAGGTAGAAAAAAAATATAAGGCATGACGTCACAAGTGGACACCAATTGATAATTGTTACAGCTAAAGCCTGGTTCTTTACAGTTTACCCCCCCCCCCCCTCCATAATAATATAATAATGATAATTTGCACACTAAAAAATAAACAATATGTTAACATTTTGCTGATGAAATTTTTTTTTAACTAATACAGGCTAGTTCGTCAATGGTAAAATTGTATTGAGTTTGTTACATTTTATGATTTTTAGTTATTTTTTTCTTTTTTGCATTGCATTGTGTTTTATATATTTTTGTCTCAGCTATTGATCAAGGGAAAAATAACTCGTTATCATCATGTGACCTTCTGTTACAGATGTTATAGAAGATTTCAGTAGCCTATATTATTGGTATTAACAGTATAATTTAAATAATCTATGGATTTATTGAGTTTTTATGGATATATATAAAATATCCGTTTTCAGGCGTCTAATGAATTATATCATTTTGATATTGTCACGCCTAGTCCTAGACTACCTCACCAGTGATGGACATGGCGTCATCTGAGAGGAAATAGCCTTGCGCACACTGGAACGAACCATTCCCGTATGAGAGAGAGAGAAAAAGAGCGAGAGAGAGAGAGGGGAGAAGAAAGAAGCGAGAGGGGGAGGAGTGAGGGTAGCACCGGGTTCGCTGTGAGCCATGTTGGATGTGAATGAGAGATGCTGCGCTCGTGTCGCTGCTAGCCGGAGCTCTACCAAACACCGAGAGTAGATGCGAGCTTCCCGGGATCACCGAGCGACCGGGGAGCACGGCGGAAGGAGTCGGGCGGTGGTGGATGAGCTGGCCACTTAGCCGGCGTTTGGAGAGAAAAAGAAAGAAAGACACTTCGGTTCAGAGTGAGTGGAGAAAGGGGAGAGAGAGAGAGAGAGAGAAAGGATTTCACCAGACTAATGGCTGCACTGCTACTGGACTTGGGCTCGCTTTCGCCGCTGTTGTTTCTCCTTATCCTCAGCTCATTGTTCACTGTTATCCCGGGGAGTACAGCAGGGCCGTTCTGCCGCTCTCTGTGCACCCACCCAGCCCCCGGAGACGCTCAAATCGCCAGCCTGCCCGACGGAACGGTAGCGGGGGCTTTGGCTGGGGGCGATTGGAAGATCCACCCTGCACGGACGATACGGTCGCATGGACGGGATTTGCAATGCTTACGGTCTAGTACAGTGGGAACCTCCTCAAGTCCGTTGAGTACGGATTACCTGAATTCTAGTACATGGGTATCAGAACCGGCAGCGCACACCGGACGCTGTCATCCCCAGCCCTTTTGGAGTAACGGTGGCAGCGGAGAGAAGGGCGTTGTTTCTCGTGTTCTCGCCTCTCCGGTTCAGTATGGCAAAAAAAGGACTATACAAAGGACTAAAACGCGCTCGCGGCCACAGACGCGCCTCAACACCGGGAGGGTTGTTGTACAAAGCTTGTTGGATAACTCTAGACCCGCAGACAGCAAATCCAGGCCTAAGCACTGCCCATGTCACCTAAAACGGGAGTTTGCCGCTGCCAAGACATCAACTCGGTCGTTATTAAAAGCCTATTCTCATTCTAATGTGGTTTCGGACGCCAATAAATTGCACAAAGCGACAGCGGACCGTCCCCTTTCAGGCACCCTGAATGTTATCGATCCCACCAGAGAGGACTGGAACGGATCAGGCTTTGAAAAAACCCGCGGGTGCTCGGAACCGTGCGCGCGGCAGCTCTCTCTGGGGCTTAGAAGCGAAGCAAGCAGCTGTCTCGAGTCACACCGGATCACAGGTTGTTCGGAAAGGCATCCAGCCTGGCACAGCAGTAACTGGCACCGGTTCAACATTTCTCTGGGGCGCTACGCTGTTTGTGAAAGTCAAGCAAGAGAAAATACTAACACCACATCTTCAAATAACAACTCAAAAGTACAATTTGTGCATGGAAAGTCTGATCGGAATAGTCCAGTGAAGTATTCTTGTACACGCAAGCGGACTGATGCTCGGGATTTAATGACACATTCTGACTGGGTCAGAACTGGGACTTGCTTTGATCACAGAAAGACTCATTATAATAGATCAACTAGTATCAGCGCTGCTCCGTCTTATATCGGTGATGTACACAACTCTGACTCATCTGCTACTGGCACTCCCAGGGGTCATAATGCATCACATATCTACCTCTTAATCGAGCTAAACTTTCCTAAACGTTCTCGTGACTCACACATCCATATGCGAGGCAATGACACAGAGCGCGCGAGAGAATATTCAGCACCCGCTCAGTGGACAGCGCCAGTCTCCGTGCATTTCTCGAGTGACTTTACTGAAAGTTTGTTGCTGAGGAATTGGAACAGTAACAATAACAACAACTGCGCCAAAAATCGTAATAATAACCACTACAACAGCAGCAGGCCTGATCAAAATGCAACTGAAACTCAAAATGTTCCTGGCACCGAAGAGCGCGATTTTGTTAAAGAGGAAAGCGCACGCTCTCCTTCCCCTTGCTCCGGTGCGCGTGCAGAGTGTGATGACTTCAGCGCCGACGACAGCTTAAGCGCCGATGGGGGAGCCACGCGGCCGCAATTAAAGTCCGGTAAACGGGTGTCATTACAAGCTGAGGGTGTCAGCCAGCAAGAAGGGCAGCTGGAAGCCGCGGCTGAGTGCGGTAGGAGGGAGGCACAGATAGAGGGCGGGGTGAAAGAGGAGGGAAGGGGGGAGGGTGGCAGACAGCATGTAGAGGGAGAAAGGGAGGAAAGCATAGAGTGGGTGATTGCAGAAGACACAAAGGAAGAGACAGTGTTAGAAGAGACAAATTTACTGAGAAAAAAAGAAAAAGGTCAAGGCAATGGCACCTTTCAGTCCGAAACAGAGAGTGATGAAAACAAAGGGGGACTGTATACTGAACAAAATGAGCTTGCTTATAGTGTAGATGGGCTGAGAAACACACAAAAAAAGCAGTACATTGAGAAACTAAAAGCAGTAGAGAGCGATGAAGTGCAGAGAGGAGAGGAGCAGGAGTACAACGATGAGCAGACAGGTATCCCTCCTGTTGGGCGCTCCCGTAGAGCTGCTAATCGACATCCCCATTTCCCCCAATATAACTACCAGGTTCAGGTTGCTGAGAACCAGCCTCCTGGTACCTCAGTCATAACTATGACAGCTGAGGACCCTGATGCTGGTGAGGCAGGCAGACTCAGTTATAGCATGGCCCCTTTAATGAACAGCAGGTCCATGGATTACTTCCAAATCGACCCAATTACTGGCCTTCTCGCCACCACACACATTCTGGATCGTGAACACATGGACTTGCACTACTTCAGAGTTACAGTCACAGACCACGGCTCACCGCACCTTTCTGGAACAACTATGGTGACCATCACCGTGGCTGACCGTAATGATCACTCTCCTGTGTTTGAGCAAACAGAGTACCGCGAAACTATTCGAGAGAATGTGGAAGAGGGATATCCTATCCTACAGCTACGAGCAACAGATCTTGACTCACCGACAAATGCCAATATACGCTACAGATTTATTGGAGAAAGTGCACCTGTTGCACGCTCTGCTTTTGAGATTGATCCACGATCAGGCTTGATCACAACACGAGGTATTGTTGACAGAGAAGCAAATGAGCGTTATACATTGCTGGTGGAAGCAAGCGACCAGGGGAGAGAGCCGGGCCCACGGTCAGCCACTGTTAGCGTCCATATCACGGTGTTGGATGAGAATGACAATGTTCCACAGTTCAGTCAAAAGCGGTACGTGGTTGCAGTTAGAGAGGATGTTCGACCACATTCCGAAATCCTCCGAGTCAGTGCTTCGGACCAGGATAAAGATGGGAACGCTGCTGTGCACTACAACATAATCAGTGGGAACAGCCGAGGACAGTTTGCTATTGACAGTGTAACTGGAGAAATCCAGGTGGTTGCACCGCTGGATTTTGAGACAGAACGTGAGTACACGCTGCGACTGCGGGCTCAGGACAACGGACGCCCCCCTCTCTCCAACAACACTGGAATTGTGAGTGTGCAGGTCACCGATGTCAACGATAATCCACCCATCTTTGTATCCACACCTTTCCAGGCTTCAGTGCTGGAGAGTGCTCCTATCGGTCACTCCATTCTCCACATTCAAGCTATTGATACAGATAATGGCGACAATGCACGTCTGGAATACCGTTTGACGGGGACTGGCACAGATACACCGTTTGTGATCAACGCTGCCACTGGTTGGGTCACAGTGAGCTCAGAGCTTGACCGTGAATCGGTAGAGCACTACTTCTTCGGGGTTGAGGCTCGAGATTATGGCGCCCCACCTCTTTCCGCCACAGCAAGTGTTACGATCACAGTAATAGATGTTAATGACAACCGCCCAGAATTTCTACAAAAAGAGTATTACGTTAGACTAAATGAAGACGCAACTGTTGGAACAAGTGTGGTCAGCGTAACCGCAGTTGACCGTGATGTGAATAGCGCCGTCACATATCAAATCACTGGTGGAAACACACGTAACCGCTTTGCCATTAGCACAGCCAGTGGCGGAGGACTTGTCTCCCTAGCACTGCCGTTGGACTACAAACAGGAGCGTCGTTACGTGCTAACAGTCACTGCTTCTGACAGAACTCTCCACGACACCTGTCAGGTGCACGTCAACATCACAGATGCCAATACACACCGGCCCGTGTTCCAGAGCGCTCATTATTCAGTAAGTGTGAATGAGGACCGGCCTCCTGGCAGCACCGTGGTGGTCATAAGTGCCACAGATGATGATGTTGGAGAAAACGCACGTATCACTTACTACCTGGAGGACAATATTCCACAGTTTCGTATCGACCCTGCATCCGGAGCGATCACACTTCAAGCCGAACTAGACTACGAAGACCAGATGACTTACACTCTTGCCATCACTGCTCGGGACAACGGAATCCCACAGAAATCTGACACTACATATGTGGAGGTCAACGTTAATGATGTAAATGACAACGCACCTCAGTTCCTGAGCCCCAGGTATCAGGGTGGAGTCAGTGAGGATGCTCCACCTTTCACTAGTGTTCTGCAGATCTCTGCTACTGACCGTGATGCTCATGCCAATGGCCGTGTCCAGTATACATTCCAAAATGGAGAGGATGGTGATGGGGATTTCACTATTGAACCAACCTCTGGGATAGTCCGAACCGTCAGGAGGCTCGACCGTGAAAGTGTTCCCTTCTACGAGCTGACTGCATTTGCCGTGGATCGCGGTGTTCCACCTCAGCGTACGCCTGTACATATTCAAGTCAGTGTTATGGATGTCAACGACAATGCTCCTGTGTTCCCCGCTGACGATTTTGAGCTTCTAGTCAAGGAGAATAGCGCCGTTGGGTCCGTCGTAGCTCAAATTACAGCAACTGATCCAGATGAGGGCCAGAACGCTCAGATTATGTATCAGATTGTAGAAGGCAATATTCCAGAAATCTTCCAGATGGACATTTTTTCAGGAGAACTCACCTCCCTGATTGACCTTGACTATGAAACACGGAACGAATATGTAATCGTTGTCCAGGCCACGTCAGCGCCACTAGTCAGTCGTGCCACTGTGCGCATTCGACTGGTTGACCAAAATGATAATGGGCCTCAAATGCAAGACTTTCAAATCATCTTTAACAACTTTGTATCCAATCGATCCAACACCTTCCCAAGTGGGGTTATTGGACAAGTTCCTGCCCACGACCCAGATTTTCAGATCGTCTCTACTACACTATAGATCGTGGAAATGAGCTGCACCTGCTGCTGTTGAACCACACAAGTGGGGAGATCCGCCTAAGCCGGAAACTGGACAACAACCGACCATTGGTGGCCCCGATGCTCATCACTGTCACTGGTAAGACCAAAAGACGGAGGGAAAGATGTGAGGGAGAGGGGGAGGGAGAAAGAAAAGGATGAAATGGGGAAATGAGGCAAGGGCTATTAAGGTCACGAGGATGAAATCAAATCAGGTCAAATTGGTTTTGCTAACTCTTTTCTTCAGAGCTCTATTATGAAATATTCCTGAAGGCAATGTGTCAGTGTGCAGAGACTATGTAAGTGGCAAAATGGAATGAAAGAATAGAAGATATCTTTGGAGAGAGCTGACCCTTGACTTGCATTTTTCCCTCTAAAGACATTTAGCGATCAATGTAAATGACTTTATGCTGGCACGATTTCTTACTGATATTAGCAGGTAACAATACCCTTCAGTTGTAACATGAGAGAGTGTAAGTGCTGAGAAGAGCATTGCTTGGCCACAATGGCTGATGTTGTTGATGGCATTGCTGGGAAGTGTACATAATTGTGGCTTTTGAAATGTAAATTTATCAAGATGTGTGGGGTTTTGTGGCTGTTTTGTGTTTATTTAGCACTTAGAAAAAATGTCCTACTTGACTTGAAAAATATTGCTGATTTGATTTTTTATTTACCTTACCTGGCTGTGAGTGTGTGTGTGTGTGTGTAGGGCATATAGATTGGGGAGTTTGTAAGACTGCAGTGTTGGACAGCTCAGTTACCCTCTGGTAAAATTCTACCTCTCTCTCCTATGAGGAAAGCACACTTCCATTTCCATCCCCCACTTGCTCTCCATTCCTCATTCATTTTTGCTTCCTTGCTTTCTATTCCTTTCTTTCCTTTTTTTCTCAAATATATATATATATTTTTTTTTTTTTTTTGCTGTTGGGTTAAATAGTATAAATATGTGTTTCTAAATGAGCGGAACAGCTTATGCATTGTTTGGCTTTATCAGAGTTTTAATGTCCCAAGGGAAACGGAAGGTTAATTTGAAGGAATTTCCTCTGAAATTATTCCTTTGTATTCCAATTCACCCAGAGAAACAGCAGTTAGTTTTCTAATGAGCACAGCTCATTGTCTGTAAGATGAGATGACATGGTTTGAAGCTCAATGTCACTTTTATCTTGTTTTTCTCCAAGCAAGGCTTGCATGTGATTAGTTGTAGTGTTTATTTTGTTATACCTTTAATGATGTGATGTACAAATGTACACATGTAATGATGTGATGGTCTCAGATAATGCATGTTTTAAAATAAGTGTGTGTGTGTGTGCATACTGGTAAATATAGTTTAATAGAGGATTACATACAGCCCTCTTATCTCGCATGCTCTCTCTTTCTCTCTCTCTCTCTCTCTCTCTCTCTCTCTCTCTCTCTCTCTCTCTCTCTCTCTCTCTCTCTCTCTCTCTCTCTCTCTCTCTCTCTCTCTCTCTCTCTCTCTCTCTCTCTCTCTCTCTCTCTCTCTGTTCTACTTTACTTTGAGTGTAATAGGACGTCCTTAGGGGAAGCCTGGCTTTGGAAACAAACGGAGCACAGTAATCAGCTGTCAAACTAGTGCCCGAGATTGTGTGTGTGTGTGTGTGTAATCAGATGGTTTATTATTCGTTCATCTAGCCATCTACATTGTTTATGCCTACATCTGGGTTTGTTCGAGCATATATTAAGTTTGTGTTTATACACACTTGTTTGTGAGTGGGTAAGTGTTTGTAGTTGAGTGCCATTTGGCTGATGGGGTAGAAATATATTTCCATGTGACTAATTCTAACTATGAAGGGCAAACACATCTAAGCATTTCACTTTCCTTTTGTGTACAAACCACACAAACAATGACCCATGACACCTAGTGCCTGTTTTGGACATGCTACAGTAGTAATTTTGTAATTTACAAATTTGGAATGTAATTTCAATGTTCAGGAGTACGTCAAATGTGAGAGGTACTGTTGTGAGAATTTGTCAGCATGTGCATGTGTCAGGTAGTGTTTTTGTGAGCTGGTAAAAAGACATTTGCCTGTTTTCTTACGACCCCAGCAAGAATTACACCAAACACACTTTCACCGAAAGTTATTTCTAACAATCCCCTTGTGCAAAACAAGCCTAAAATAAAGGTCACTTTAGAATGGGTAAGGGAGCTAGCTTATAAAATATTAAAAGGGTCTGAGAGAGAAGTAGAGAGAAATACAATGAAGAAAGGAGAAATTATGGGTTTAGAGAATGTGTATAAGAGGAAGAAGAAAACAGACTGAGGAAGAGAAGATAATAAAACACTGAAGTGTGGAATAGAGACTTGGGAAATGGAGGGAGGTGAATGACTGACGAGTGATTGAATAGATGGAATAGAAAGAGGAAAGACTCACTGAGTTCAGGTCTGCGCTTTGAACAGCTGAAGGAAAATTGTTTCAGATGAAAGAAATGGAAAATTGCCCCCTTTGAAACCAACCAGCTCTTAATATACTTTATATTGAATGCAATGCTTATTTGTGCCTGCACTTTCAATCATCTTCATAACCGGTATTTGAATCTGGTTTTCCAGTAAAATATAAAAAAATCTTATAAACAAGATAAATATAATTAAAATCGAAATGTATGATATAAGAAAATTGACAAATAGTTTTTTTCCTTTTTGTTTTAAGCATACATTTCACAACCTTTTGAAAAATTTGATTGATAAGACAAACACATGCAATTTGTCAACCAGGTTAAAAACTTAATTTAAGTTATATTCTCTAAAAAGAATAACCATTTTATTGATACCAAAAGACTACCATTCAAAAGTTGGACAGTAAGATGTAAAAAAAATGTGATTTATTTTAATTTGAAAGAAGCCCCTTGGGTTCACCATGGATGTATTTATTTGATCAAATACTGTAATATTGTGAAGTATTATAACAATTTAAAGTTAAAGTTTTCTATTTTAATATATTTTAAAAATTTGCAGCATCATTATGATCCTTCAGAAATCATTCTATTATGCTGATTTGGTGCTCAAGAAACATTTCTTATTATTATCCATGTTGAAAACAGTTGTGCTGCTTTTATTATTTTTTTTATTGTGAAAACTGTGATACATTTTTCAGTATTTTTTTCAGTGAAGAGCAATCTTTACTTTTGTTAAAAAAAAAAAAATACTCTGGGACCTGTTCAATTGATCTAAGTGTAGATCAGTTTATTGAGTTTAGTATTTACAACAATACAATATGTACAACATGTCCCTGGATCAACTTCTTTGTTGATCCTGGAACAACATTCCATCAACCAATCTGATTTGAGGGACAAGTTTACTGTTTATGTCAATTTTAGGTGTACAACAAGGTTTAAGGGACTACTACCTCAGTGTTATTCACATATCAATTCCGTCCAGAAGTTATGGGTAGGGAGTGGGTTGGCACTACATTTTTGGGCAGGAATGTTGTTTCAGGATCAACAAAATAATATGTTCATAATTATATATCTTGCCTGGCAAAATCCCGGTGACTTCCACTGACTGCTAATGTCAGATGTCATAGACAGATATTAAACAAAGAGCATGTAAACACACACACATGCTGGTGATTTGACTTATCCTCTATGTGGGAGCTCGAATGTGTTGATTTAATCAGCATGATTAATAATATTTTCCTGTTGTAAGCTTCATTAATCATTTAAATAAATGTTTGTTTTTTTTAGCCTATATGATGAGTTACCGGTGTGTTAGGTTACATGTTATGGCCGTTTAGAGTAATTACAATTATTTACTTGTCAATTTGCCAAATTATTTGTTTGACCTCAGTGTTTACTGGAATATGACAGAAAAATGATAGATAAGATAAGAAATTGGTGGTTTGCTTCCATTGTGTTTTGCGCCATGTGCTTTTCTAGTGCATTAGTTTAATGGCTGCATGGTGTGTTAAAGAGAGAGATGGGGACTGTTTTCGGGAGGTCAGTAGGGAGTCACTGCCTTATAATCCCGTAATCAAACCAGCTGCCTCCTTGCACCCTTCCCCCTACCTCTCCATACCTCGTTCTCTCCCCACACACCTTCTTTCTGTCCTTCTTTTCCTCATCTCAGTCTCCCACAAACACGCATTCCCAGATCTCTTGTCTGCTTGATATTGCCTTCATCTTTCTGACGGTTATGTAAACACTCCTGCTCCCCTGCCTCCATCCTTCCTCTTCTAGTCCATTTTACTCTCTCCATCTCTCTCTTTCTCTCACTCTCGCGCAGGGTGGCATTTCATCAAAGGAGGATATAATCTCCTCAGACACTGAGACATCCAGTGACATTAAAAACTTCAAGCCACGGCTGTCGTCCTCACGCGTTGTAGATGCTCACACACTGCGCTTGACAAACAAGACTTTTTTTCTCCAGCTACCACAGCAGTTCAGTTAAACAATTCATCACTGTGGAAAAACTGTGCAAATATTTTGAGCTAAACTGTAATTTACAAACAGTACATGCAATCAGTGTTTGGTGTGGTGAGCCAGATTAAAGGATTTTTAAAGTGCCTCAATTATGCTTTTTCGAAGATTACCTTATATGCAGTGTATAATAGCTGTTTGTTAATGTAAAAGATCAAATACGAAAAGTTATTGCCTCCTAAAAGAAGAAATCGCGTCTAAACTGCTGCAATGAGTCTTATTTCCTGTTACATATACGTAACAATGTAACACATTTGCGTAATATCGTAATATCAGCCTGGGATCTTCATTGGCTACCTGTGAATAACGTCTTATTTTACCCAAGCTGGTAGATGAACCACAGCTATTTGTTTTGTACCCTAAATTTAACAGGATTTTTTTTTTTTTTTACAGCATGGAAGTAGCCTACTGAAATTGCACACTTTACCTTTAAGAATGCCAATTTGTTATAAATTTGGGTTATGGATTAATATGGCAGGTGTGGTTGAGGAGAAAGCATGTTTTGTTTCTCTCTGTGTTTGAGAGAGAGAAGTGGGGGATGGAAGGTGTATTTTTATGAGAAATGCTTATCAGCATGAAAGGTATGACTTTTAAGTGGATGACATTATGATCTAACGTCTCCCTTTCACCCCTCCCCCTATTTCATCTTCTGTGCTTTTATTCTTTCCCATCCCTGACTCCTCACCAGCATCCAGCAGCCTCACCCCAACTCTCTCTCTCTATCTCTCTCTCCCGCTCAATCTCTGCTGAATCATTTCCTCTTCTTCTTCTTCTTTTCTTTCACTCAATTTAAATCGACTTTACAGTGAGACCATATTCGGGCACTTAATTGGAAAGACATTTTTAATGTATTGAGGGGGAAAAATCATTTAGAAAATGGAAACGCAACTGTGAAAATGTCATCATAGTTGTACAAGGACATACTGAATAACACGATTCAGAATTGTTTGGACTGGCAGGGGGTTAGCGGTACTGGAGTATCAAAGTCTGTCAAACACTAGCATGCTTCACTGGTCACTGTAATGATAATAGTGCAATGGTGTGTATTTTCAAACTCACAGCCCAATAAGTGGTGCATGGGCCAAAATTTAAGCCTGTGGCTGTAATATTTAAACCCAAACAAATATGGATGTATAAAGCTGAATCTCCTGAGGACTTGTCTGGGTAATATTTCAACCTCCAACCTCTCAAAAGAAATAAAAAGCCCAAATTTCGGACCATTTATGTTTGATTGCATTGGGGCATTATTTTCATGATAATTAATACAATTTCCCTTAACAGTCATGACTTTAATACAGACCAACATCAATGACATATTATTTAAATACAGTCGTGCTCAGAATTAATGGCACCCCTGGTAAATATGATCAAAACTGGCTGTAAAAATAAATATGCATCTTTCGTTCAAAAAATTATGATACAATTATACAATGATTCATATGATACATGATACACTATGTTTCAAAACATAGTGTCTGAAATGTAATCTGGTCGTTACATTAGGTACACCCACACATTTTCTGATCAGTCACAGAAAACCTTGAATCTTTTCATTATTTTCTCTTTTCATCTCTCCAGTTTGCTCTCTTTTCAATCTGTGACTGTGTATATCCAAAGTTGTATGCAGTGTATATGCATTTAAGTGTATGAGCATGAAGTACGTGTGAATTTGATGGACACATGATTCACTGTGCAGCATGTTGCTAATTTCACAGTCAGTGAGCTGTAGATGAAGTCAGGCTGTAGTGACTTCATGTTGAAATGGACCCCCTGAACTCTCACAGCAGCATTGAGATGTTTCACATTACAATAAAGTAAAACATAGACTGTGACTATCAGAGAAACTGAAGTGATGTTTTGATAGAGCTGTCAGAGATGTTCTTATCACTTAACTTACAAACTAAAGTGATTTGACATTCTGCTTTTGCACATACTGTGATGTTGTCATTTTTATGCTTATTATCAGGCCTTAACTCACTTCATCTGCCTTTTGTCTCATTCTCTGTGTTTCTCAGATGGCATTCACAGCGTCAGCGCTCAGTGTGTGTTGCGGGTTCTCATCATTACGGAGGAGATGCTCAGCAGCAGCATCACTGTGCGACTGCAGAACATGTCCCAGGAGCACTTCCTGTCTCCGCTGCTCACTCACTTCCTGGAAGGGGTGTCAGCAGTGCTTTCAGTCTCTCCTTATGATGTGTTTGTGTTTAACGTGCAGCCGGATGCAGATGCAGGAAAGGTGCTCAATGTTAGTTTCTCCGCGGCAATGCCGGGAGGGCAGTTTTTCCCATCAGAGGCTCTGGAGGAGCAGCTGTACCTCAACAGACCTAGACTTAACACCCTTGCACATATGGAGGTAACACTCACACAAACATAGAGGCCTCATAGAGTATTTAGACATTTAAACCACATTTAACGAATGAATTTCCTTGTATTAGATAAGGTAATACAAATCTTTTTTAAATAAATGTCATGTGTCTTTTGTTAAGGCTGCATTTATATTATAAAAGATACTGTAAAAAGCACAGTGAAATTGAATATTACAATTTAAAATCATTATTTTCTATTTTAATTTATTTTAAAATGTAATTTATTCCTGTGAATCCTGACATTTCAGCATAATTACTTTAGTTTGTATTAGTATTTTATTTTTTACTTTAGTATTACTTTAGTATTACTTTCACATGATCCTTCAGAAATCATTGCTGCTCAAGAAACATTTCTCATTATTATCAATGTTGAAAACAATTGTGCTGCTTGTGAAAATTCAATAGAACAGCATTTATTTGAAAAAGAAATTTTGAATCCTTTACTGGCACTTTAGATAAATTTAAAGTGTCCTTGCTGAATAAAAAAAAAAAAAAAATTTTCTCACCCAAAACATTTGAACGGTAGTACTTTTCAAATAGAGAAAAAAGGTAAATCTAAAGTTATTTATTCAATGCATAGTTAAATGAAACAATAAATTAAAACATAAATGTTCCTTAAAACAGTTTTGCAATTACAAATTTATTTTCTTCATCCTTTTGCCAAATACTTTTATTTATCCATTTGCCAGTTGAGTTGAAAGCACTTAAAAGCACCTTTTGCTGTGTGTTACGGCAGGTTCTCCCGTTTGATGATAACGTGTGCTTGCGTGAGCCATGTCAGAACTACATGAAGTGTATTAGCGTCCTCCGCTTCAACAGCTCCGCTCCCTTTATCGCCTCCAATTCCACGCTGTTCCGGCCCATCCATCCCATCACAGGCCTGCGTTGCCGCTGCCCAGCCGGATTTACCGGAGATTACTGTGAGATTGAAATAAACCTGTGTTACTCAAACCCCTGCATGAATGGAGGAGTGTGCGCTCGCAGAGAGGGAGGCTACACCTGCATCTGCCGAGAGGATTACACAGGTGAGAGTGGGATTGTGTGTTTCAGTAAGAGATGTGTTATTGTGTCTTCATAGATGATGGGGAGTCTTGCAAAGATTTGCAAAAGAACGCACTTTGCGGTTTATGCTGGCCAAGAATCGCCCACTTATGTCTGGTTCACACTGCCAAAACAAACATTTCAAACATGCACTAAATTTGGCTGTTGGATGTACAGTAGAATTGTGAGAATCATGTTCGTACTGCCTAACAGAGACAGCAATGGATCAAATAAACCCAACAACCTTTGGCATTTGATGTTTCTTGGTTAGACAGGAAAAGGACAAAATAGATCTTTCAAAAATTTGATGCTAAGAGTAGGACTATAGAGATCTTCCAATTAGGTTCTGATAAACAAATTACTAAACAAATTCAATTTTGATTGAATTAATTTTCAGATATATCAGTTGTAATGTCCATTTTGTATATATATATAGTATGTATATGAAAGAAATTCTAAGCTAATGCTTTAAATTATTTATTTAAAAAATATGAATTTACGGTAAAACAGGGTCCAAACTATGGGGTTTGATTACTATTTATTTATATTAAATATAAAAATGGTAAAAACAGCTCTGTGGATGCCAAGTAAACTTTAAATTGCATTTCTAATGCAAAACTGTTTTTCATAACAATTTGTCAAATTATAAAAAAATACATTAAACTCATGAACATGAACTACTAGTGACATGTGGTAGAGTCAAAGGTTGATTGGTTGTCTCTACGATTACATTGTTCAAGGGCATTTTAACTTGATTGACGTATTTTTCCAAAAAAAAAAAAAAAGATTTATTCATTTATTATTTGAACTACATTTCAAAAGATTAAATTAAACAAACTGTTTTAAATATATAACATTTTATTTTTATGGAAAAACTATTTGCGCAACAAACCATTGTGTTTATAATTAAATAAAAAAAATACTAGTTTGCCCCGGAAGCCAGGAACATTAAATTTACAAATGGTCGCGCCCGCTCTTATGTAAAAATAAGGTGGTAACTTTTGGACTTAAAATACTGGTAGTCTATAAATAGATTTTTTATTTTTTTTTTGCTGAGGGCAATCAATCTTTGGATTTTCAATATTGATTATTGAATAATCAGTAGAAATCTTTTTTTTTTTGAGATCGTTCAAATGAATACCACGATTAATGATAGAATCAATATTTTAACCCAGCCCTGGCCACGTGCGCCTCCAACATTTCCAAATCCAGTTACTATTTTTTTGTTTAAAGAAGCACTCAAATTGTGCAGCAGCCTGCCAATCTAACATTGCCAGTTTTCTGTTCAGTATGCATCAGATGGCCAGTGAAGGGGCTGTGAGCGGTCCGTGGGCGCACCATCTGATGCTGAGACTAGACGGTGGTGCCTGGTGGAACAGCCAGTTTGTTTTTCAGTGTGTGTGTGTGGCCATTGGGGTTAAACAGACCTACACTCTCAGCAGTGAAGTCATTCTGAAGTTAAATGAGCAACTCTTAGTAATACTAACGCTGCAGTATGAGAGAAAGTGAAAGAAAGAAAAAGAAATCCAACGAAAGGATGAAAGCAGGGGCAGATGCGGGATCCCCCCGAGGGCTGTACCATGTGTGTGGGGGTTGGGCTGGGTGGTTTAGCCCAAGAGGAGAAGAATAGCTTTGATGAATTAAACATCATTTGAACGAAGGGGAGAGAATACATTACCAAATACTCTGGATAGGTATAGGGAGTGGAGCGAAACAGAAATAGAAAGAGAGAGGAAGAAAGAGGGTGAAGTGCTCTTATAGTAAGTCAGGAAAGTGAACAGCTGGAGAAAAGAGAGAGAGGGAGTGAGGACCAAACACAAATATAAAAGGACAAAAGTATCTAGAGACTAAAGATAGACAGACTAAAGATGGAGAGATATTTGCAGAGAGGGTTTTAGAGCCTTTCCCTGCTGGTTTTTAAGTGATTTAGAGGCATCTTAGAATCAATAGAGATTTGTTTAAGTGTGCTGGTGTGTGTGAGAGCATGTGTGTGACCTTAAAAGCTCACCTTTTGTCCATGTCTAGATAAGCGCACTTGAATTCTCTTTGCTTATATAAATATCTATCTTTGCTGCCACTTGTATTTGTTGTGGCCAGTGAAGACAATTCTTTTTTTGTTTTTGGACTTTAAGATGAACTTGTATACCTCATTAGCCCCTTTTCCACCAAAGCATTTTGAGAGCCGGTTCAGAGCCGGTGCCTGCCCGTGAACCAGTTATTGGTTTCGACGGCCAAAGAACCGGTTCTCGGCCGGGAAAACTGGTTCCAAAGCGGCGCCAACTTTTTCCTGGACTAGAACCGTTCTTTTACCACGTCATGCTTACGTCGGGGGCTGGGGGGCGGGTTTAGATGCGTTCTAAACATCTTTTCTGACCATTATATAGGATCGCAAAGCCAGCAGAAACATTTGCAGAAACACGACGGAGTCCGCCTTTGTAATTGTTATGCTTGAAGTTGGCGCAAGCTTTTCTATGTTTTTTTATTGAAAACATGCAAAGATGAAAACAGTCACAATATAGAACAAATAAATGGAAAGAAAAAAAAAGACACAAGACAGGGGTAGCCTACATAACTTATCAGAAAAGATTACATATCAAACGAAAAGATTAAAAGACTTGCATACTATTTCAATTGTTTTTAAAGCCTTCTTGGTACACGAGTTAGAGATAATCCCAAATAAAAAGTAATAAAATTAAATAAAAAAATAATAATAAAAGTAATGTTGTACTTGCAAGTGTTTCTAGCTAAGAGGCGACGTACACAGTGACGTAACGACGTCGTTCCCTGGGCGCTCTAGTCAGTGGAAAAACAAACAGTTTCTGAACGGGTTCGCAAGTTGAACCAACTCCGGACCAACTTTGAACCAGCACCAGAACCGAACCAGTTCTTTTTTGGTGGAAAAGGGGTAATTGTGAACTGTGAGAGCGTGTTTGTATTGTTGAGCTTGTGTGTGTGTGTGTTTTCTGTCAGTTCTGGTTGGGAAGTTTAAAGATATTGCTGTTTGTCTTGGTGTCAGTAAGTGCTCTGTGAGCAGGAGCAGTCAGTGTGAAATGTTTTGCATGTGTTCGTGTCAAACAGTCCATATGGTTTAACTAGGCCAGGGACGGAGAAACACTTTGAAAATGGAATTGGCAAACTTGTTAAATAATAATAAAACATGCTAAAAGCAATTTACATTCTTATGATATATCTTGCAATAATAACTCTTTCTTATACATCAGCACCTCTACTTACATGAAACTATATAATTAAGGAGAAGATAAACACACATTTATTTGCAAAAACATTCTTAGATCTTTATACGGAAGATATATATAGCTGGATATCTCCATCCAGTCTGAAAAGTGTTTTCTGGGTTGGTTTTCCTATAGGCTAAAGTATATTCCGGCCCAGTATATTTAATAACGTCCTATAATGGTAGCCTAATGCTGGTAGATTGTTGAATTTTCTTTTGTTGAAACAAAACACACACACACACACAAACGCACACACACACTGTGTGAAACACTCGCTATGCACCATTATGAATGCATGTGTGTCCGGCAATGTGAGACAATGGCAAGCACACACGCAGCTTCAACGGAAGACTGTATTCTCGAAATGTTTCGACTTTAAAACATTTTTCAAGACGCACTTTAATTAGTAGTTTAAACGTTTCATAAGTAGTCTCTTATACAGACTGGTAAATAGATTACTATGTTAGGGTGAATCTGAATTATCAACATATTTATTGAATTGAAATTTGCCATGATTTGGGGTGGTGGTGGCGCAGTGGATAAGACACATGCCTTTGGTGTGAGAGACCCGGGTTCGAATCAACTGTGAGACACCAATGTGTCCCTAACCAAGACACTTAACCCCTAGTTGCTCCAGAGGCATGCGACCTCTGACATATAGCAATTGCAAGTCGCTTTGGATAAAAAGCGTCAGCTAAATGAATAAAAATGTAAAAACTGATTTTATGCTCACTGTCTGTCTGTAATAATCACAAATTGCGCAAAAAAGTCGCAAATTATTAAAAATCATTTAAATATCACACAAATTGTATTCATATAGGCCATGACAATAATTTATATTACTTCATGTAACATTAAATAATGAATGTAGGGTTTTCTCTTTTATAAAATAAATTTATGATATATTTTAGTTGGTAATATATTTGGTTTCATGTGTTCCGGTGTAAGGTGTTCTTATATATTTTTATTCTGGGCATAGCGACTTATTTTAAATTGGCTTTTGAATATTCAGTGCTGCTTTCAAGAGGAATGTGTGCTTAAATCCTTTTGCCTTTGCAGGTGATATGTTTGTAAGCTATGATGAATATGCTAATGCCTCATATTGAATATGCAGAGAACTAAGTACCCATGGATAAAGGCTGGACGGAGCTTCTTTAAATCTGCAAGTCCATGTGTCTTGTGGGTTTGGGTGTCTGTTTATATGTGTGTGTGGCTGGTTTGTATTCATACTGAGCAGTTAATGTAGTGTAAACATTGTTTGTTTGCATGTGATGTGTGTCTGTCCATATGTGTGTCCTAAAGGCATTTTGCTGTATGTGTGTATGTATCTGTAGTGGGTCAAAGTTTGAAGTGCTTTTAAAGGCAGTATTTTCATACTCCCACTAAAGGGAGGCTGAGATGTCTACATGTGTGTCTGTGCCAGAGGTTTGTACATGCATGCCCGTTAATGTGCTTTATTTAACCAGTGCCAGAGGCTCACCACCAACACAATGCTGGAACATCACAATGCCAGAATTTGGCTCACATTTGGCTCAGCAACATAATGCCCAAGGGCAGGATCTGCTGATGTTTCAAAACCCAAACAACAAGCTGCTTTATGAAGGAGTGTGTGTGTGTTTGTTATTGGTCCATTGGGGGTTTCCTGTCTACAGGTTTATACACATTGCTAGAATGTGTATGTGTGTAAGCTAGATCACTGCTGATACAGTGATGGTACAATTGTATCAAATGATTTAAAACAGTTACTTTAATGTTCAGCTTTTCAAATTGTACACAAAGCTGTGAGAAATGATTCATGGATCAAGTAAAAATAGAACTCTGAAAAAACTCGGAATGTGGTTTAGTTCCATTAGCTCTCTTTTCCCAGCATGCACTAGGGTATGAATAATTATTAGGGTCTCATTTTGGAGTGTTAACCAGTATTATTTACATTTTGTTGCTGGTTTTGTTGTCACATTTGGTATTGTAAAATCCAATCTGAATGTGAGGGGCGGGTTTTAAGCGCTCTAAATGATCGAAGAAGTCTAGCAAGTCTGTTGTATTGCTAGAAGATCAAGATATTTCTAAGATTTATTTACCTTGTTCTTAAAAATTACTAGCTCAAAAAATGTTAGCAATAAAAAAAAAGATTTGCGTTAATGAATCATTCACAGCAAGATATAATAAAAATGTATGTTGCACAATAACATACGTGTAGAAAATAGATTCCATAGATTTTCATTTCATGCCAACTTAAAGGAGTAGTTCACTTTAAAAAAAAACTTTTGCTGATAATTTACTCACCCCCATGTCATCCAAGATGTCCACGTATTACTTTCTTCAGTCAAAAATTAATTAAGGTTTTTGATGAAAACATTCCAGGATTTTCTACATATAATGGACTTCAATGGGAACCAAACGGTTCAAGGTCCAAATGAGAGTTTCAGTGCAGCTTCAAAGGGCTTTAAACGACACCAGACGATGAGTAAGGGTCTTATCTAGGATAAGGCATGACTCGAAAAAAGATTTGTTCATTTTGATGAACGAGTTTGAACAGGAGAGTAACGAACGCGCATCACAGAACAGAGCAAGGCGAGCATTTGTGCTTATAAAACTTAAACTTTTTTATTTATTTTTGAAATGAGCGATCGTTTCACTAGATAAGACCCTTATTCATCGTCTGGTGTCGTTTAAAGCCCTTTGAAGCTGCACTGAAACTCTCATTTGGACCTTGAACCGTTTGGTTCCCATTGAAGTCCATTATATGAAGAAAATTCTGGAATGTTTTCATTCAAAAACCTTAATTTCTTTTCGACTGAAGAAAGAAAGATGTGGACATCTGGATGACATGGGGGTGAGTAAATTATAAGCAAAAGTTTTTTTTAAAAGTGAACTACTCCTTTAACTTTAAATAAATAAATAATTGAAAATTTCATCACAATAAGTGTGTGTGTTAAAAATGGACAGATTTTGAGGCTCGACAACTTGACATTTTAGATTTATTTAAAGTATTTATGCCTGAAATAAAAATTCTGTTCAATACCAATACACATTTTTTTTTATGCTACGGCCAATAACTGATACATGTAAATGGCCGAAACTAAAATTATGAAGTATTTTATCTAAATAAATCAAAATTTAATACTAACAATTAAGGTCAATCATTTGAAATGCTTCAGCTGAATTTACAAAAAAGGGATATTTCTTTTGAGATTTACTAAAGATTACATTCAACAGTTATTGGGTTTTTAAAAAAAAATTATCTATAAAATATCAGCGCCTCAGCATCTAATTATCAGCCAAATTTAATGGAGGAAATATCAATGTGTGCATGTGTATATTGGATGTGTTTTCTCTGTCTGTCGCAGGCGAACGTTGTGAGTTTGACCGGCGTGGTGGACGATGTGTGGCAGGCATTTGTCGTAACGGTGGTACGTGTCGTGAGCTCTCCGGAGGGGGATTCAGGTGTGAGTGTCCTGCGGGAGGTTATGAGAAGCCCTACTGCTCTGTCACCACCAGATCCTTTCTGCCAAAATCATTCATGATGTTCAGGGGGCTCCGTCAACGATTCCACCTCTCCATCTCTCTCTCGTAAGTGCATACATGGACACGTTGTATAATGTACCGGTAAAGGCATGTAGTCTGATCTTCAGCCATGTGTCAAGTCCAAAACTATGACAGAAAAAACCCCACAAATAAAATAAATAATTTAGGATGTTTTTCCTGAGATAGGAGAGATTAATTTAAGACAGTAAAAATATTAATATTTTGTTTATAAATGCAAATAGGAATGTATAACTATTTATATATCATAAATCATATTTTCCCTTCTGTATTCTATTTCTTGCATTTTCTTTTCTCTCTTTCATGCTCCGTTCATTAGAAAAGCTCCTTAGCACTCTTCTTTCATCCCGTTTTTTTCCTACTTCCCCTTGTGAGCGTTATTTTCTGGTCATGTGTTTGATGTTATTGGTCAGGGTTTGGTTGCTGTGGCACAGAGGTAATATAATGGATGTTTGTTGTAATCTCCAGGGTGACTAAAACAGAGCTATATTATTTATTAAAATGGTCAAATATCAACACATCCAGAAAGGGCACAGCCTTCTCTCATCTCCCTAGACACGCCAGAATATTAAATCCTTCTCTCTCTCTCTCGGTTAAAGCCTGGCCTCTCTGCACTGAAAGATAACCATTGTGCTACAGTGTGCAATTTACCAACTGTCCATGTCCTAAAAAAACTCTTTTAAATCTAAAAGTCTTTGCTCAGGAGAGCGTAAACAGGGTCCATCTCTTTTACAGCTCAGGCCTATTGTCAGTGTTTTGTCTGGACCAAACTAGTGCATTTGTGAATTGTTTTGCTTTCCACAGAGGACATCCAGAGGCATGTCAGCTATAAATGCATGTACCAAAAAGAGGTATTATTATTTTGGCTTTATTCAAATTTGCAAATCGCAAATACAAATAATTATTTATTATTTTATTTGTTTAACATGCAGTCAGAGGAGTTTTGACCTAACATTAATAATTCTTATTTATTTGTTTTTATTTATTAATATTTTGAATTAGTTTTTGATTTAATTAAAGTTGTGTGTTTTTGTCCTTTTTAATAGTTTTTAACATGAGGTCTATTTAGTTATTATTATTTTTTCCAGTTTTAGTGTTAGTTATTTTAGTAGATCAAGTTAAACTAAATGAAAATGAGAAAAGTTGCTTTGGCAACTAGTTAAAATAATTGGCGAAACGGTTTTAGTGTCGGTTTTAGTTGACTAATAATGCTGGTTCAGAGTGCATAATGTAATTAAAAATAATTACATGATTAATAGCCTTCTCTACAGAAATGTGAACTCATAAGAACCCATCAATATTGCTCTAAATGTGCACACTTTTAGAACTTTGAAAGTTCTAATGGATATTGTTTGCTGATCTCCCTGGCTGCCATGAAACCATCCCATGTTGACTGGAAATTGAGTTGAATCACATTTAGAGATCAGTTTCTGCTGAGTGTACTTTAAGACAATTTGTGGGCATTGGCTTATGCCACTCTAAATGGACCTGTACTGATTCATTCCAGATCTTTGATGAGCTTTAATTGTGTTTTGTAGGTTTGCCACATTGGAAAGTAATGGTTTGCTCTTCTACAATGGCCGGTTTAATGAGAAGCACGACTTCCTTGCTTTGGAGATACTGGATGGACAAATGGTTCTTAAATACTCCACAGGTAAAGAGTTTTACAACAAATACTGGACCCATCTATGGTCCAAATTTGGGATATGAAAGGGTTGTGGTGTGAATTTTGCGAGTCTGTCTCTTTAATATCTACTTCTGATCTCCTTTTCCACAGGCGAGTCGTCTACTCTGGTGAGTCCGTTCCTTCCTGGTGGAGTGAGTGATGGCAACTGGCACACCGTTCACATCCATTACTACAACAAGGTGAGAAAATGTGCTTGAAATGAAGTGAAATGCTTTTGGACTATTCTGTACTATAGACTTTTTTAGTCTAGAACTTTTGGTAGTTTCCTAATCTTCAGAATGCAGTTGTGTGCTTTGTATTTGTGTACTCATGGGGAAACTTTTGTGTATTTATCCTAGCCAAAGCGAAGTGTTAGCGGTGAGGTTCAGGGTCCATCTGATGAGAAGGTCGCTGTCTTGAGTGTAGATGACTGTGATACGGCCGTTTCTCTAAGGTTTGGCACTCAGCTCGGCAACTACAGCTGTGCTGCACAGGGGAGACAGACCAGCAGCAAGAAGTGAGCGTGCACACACTCACACATACACATGTATATGTTCACTTTGCACATGTTGGTTTTGCTCAGGAAAACTCATATAGCATCTCTCTCATTCTGTATGGTTTCTCTCATAGGTCTTTGGATCTGACTGGCCCGTTGTTTTTGGGTGGAGTTCCTAACCTGCCTGAGAATTTCCCGTTTGGCACAAGAGAATTTATTGGCTGCATGAAAGACCTGCACATTGATAACAGACCAGTGGACATGGCAGGATTCATCGCTAATAATGGCACTGTACCTGGTGTGTGGGCATTATGTGATGATAGTGACGTTCTGTATCCCTGTAATGACATCAACATACACTACCGTTCAAAAGTTTGGGATTGCACAAAATTATTAAGCAGCACAACTGTTATTTACATTGAAAATAATAAGAATGTTTCTTGAGCACCAAATCACCAAATCACCGTATTAGAATGATTTCTGAAGAGTTATGTGACACTGAAAACAGGAGTAATGATGCTGAAAATGCATCACAGAAATAAATTACATTTTAAAATGCATTAAAATAGAGAACAGTGCTTTTAAATTGTAATAATATTTCACAATACTACTATTTTTACTGTATTTTTGATCAAATAAATACATCCTTGATGAGCATAAGATACTTCTTTAAAACATTAAAAATCTCACCTGCCCCAAACCTTTGTATGGTAGTGTATATGTGTAGCGTTTTGTCATTTTTGGCCTGTTATTGTGTGCTGTCATGGTGATTTTGCTGTGACTGTCTTTTTCTGTGATTGGCTGCAGCATTAGTGATGTAATGCTCTGTCTTTATTAGGCTGCAGCGCCAAATTGCCTTTCTGTAAATCAAACCCGTGCCAGAATGGCGGCACATGTCGGGTGAGCTGGGAGACGTATTCCTGTGACTGCCCTGTTGGATTTGGAGGGAAGGACTGCAGCTTAGGTGAGACCGACATAAATGATTTCTCTGTTGATCTTTACGTAAATCTTAAATCAGGATGCCCGTATCAAACAGGAACTATTACTAAATGTTAATGTCTTGATGGCATTGCTTATGGTGGTAATGTTGGACTGATTCTTCCACAGTCATGTCCCACCCCCATCGTTTCCTTGGAAGCAGTGCACTGTGGTGGGACCTGAAGAATGAAGTCACCATCACCACACCCTGGTACATGGGCCTGGTGTTCCGCACCAGATCAAAAGAGGGAGTTCTCCTGCAGGCTCAAGCTGGACAGTACACCAACTTGATTTTTCAGGTATGCTCACTTATAGAAATGCATGCAGAAAGGAAAACTAGAAAAGCTTTAACCCTTTCAAAGTTATGGTCTGTTCTGCATCTCATTACTAATAAGAACTTAAAGAGATGCATTATTTTCCTGCACTGTTTTCTTTTTTTTTTTTTTGCCCTAAACATATTTTAATTTATATATATATATAAAGTTTAAGAGAAATGTTTATACAAACATATTTTATTTTAAATTAATTCGTTAAGTTTACATTTACATGTTTAAATTTGACTTCTTTTTCATTTAAATTTTAATCAAATTTAATATCAACATGAACCGTAATAACCCTACTGTCGTAACTGGTATTTAAACAGAAGTTTTGTAGATTCACATTAAATGATCTAATTGGTGGAAGGAGGAAGTCCACTTTATTTTGATACAATTGTAGTTGTAGTTTCTTAATGTGTTTAGCTACTATTTTTGTCATAAGCATTTCATTTTAATTGTAATAAAACAATAGAAGAAATATTCATTAAAGGTAAACACTAAGTAAAATCAAAGGATTGAATCCTCCATGAATTATGAACCAAGCTTTTCCTGTGGTATTCTGATGCTCTCTGGCAATAAGGAAAAACCTGGCCTTGTTTGCCTTCAAATATTCCCAGAAATATCTTAATTTATTAAGAGGGAATGAAACAAACATCTTCACTAGAAGCACAGTGTTAATTGCATAAATTAGCTTGACTTCCCATAGCACTTTGAAGTAGACAATTCTGCGTGGAACTCCAAAGGCTCCAGATACTTAGCTGATCAAATATAACTCGCATATCCTATGAGAAATGAGTATGTGTCTGATTCCAGGTGGTTTCTGGTCAATTGGTGTTTTCTGTGGCACGGGGTTCGACTCGGCCGGTCAGATTGAGACTGGATCAGGTTCAGGTGTGTGATGGACACTGGCATGACCTACAGCTCGAGCTCCGTGATGTCAGGAGTGGCAGAGAAACTCGATATATTGCTACAGTACGACTGGACTTTGGACTGTATCAGGTACACACACTCACACACAAACACATACACCCACACATAAGTGATCCGCTAACCCCTTATTATGTGGTTGACTCATTGTTATAATCCCGTGTTGTAATCCATAATCTGGAATATCAGATCTTAATCTTTGTGGATTAAATTACAAATCAGACACAGCTCACTGGTCTAGTGATCAAACACTGAAATACATGCGATGTCACTAAAATGGACTAATTTAATCTCACTTTATTTCTCTGTATCTCTTCAAATCTCTCTCTCTGCCACAGGGAACAGTCATTGTTGGGAATGAGATTAATGGTGTAAAGGTGAAGCACCTGCATGTGGGTGGAGTTTTAGGGTCAGGAGAGGTGCAAAATGGGATACGTGGCTGTATTCAGGTTTGTCATTTTTGCAGTCTGTTTTTATAACCCAATGTATCCTCAACTGTACTCATCACACTTCTGTAACCTTCTTTAATGTATGAATTATTGATAGTTATCAATTCCTAACGGGGTCATTCATTTTTCAGCAATTAGTTGAATAATTACCGGTAATAAGAACTTCGAGAGAAAAGTCAGACTGTAAACTAAGGATTTTAATTTTATTAATGGAATATTTATTTAGCTAAGGTCAAAGGTCAACTGTTGAACACTACTTGTGAGCCATGTCAAGGCAGTATCTGTTTGATCAAAAATACAGTAAAATCTGTAATACTGAGAATATTATTAAATAGTATTATATAATATTTTTTAATAACTTCTATTTTATGTAATTTTCTACTTAAGTTTTCTATTTTTACCCTTGTCTTATTTCTTCTTATTATAATCATCAGTGTTGAGAACAGTTGTGCTGCTTAATGTTCTTGTGGGAAATCATTTTACAATTTGTTCTGGCATCTTTCATTAATAAGCTCAAAAGAACAGCATTTATTTGAAATGGAAAACTTTTGTTAAAATTATAAAGGTCTTTAATTTTACTTTTGATCAATTCAATGCATCCTTGCTGTATAAGAGTATTGATTTCTTGTAAAAAAAACTTTGAACAGTAATATTTTTGATCTGAAGGTTGTATGTTTCTAAATGTATTAATTTTTTTTAAATGTCATTCATTTGGGTGTATTTTTAATGTATGTGTGCGTAATGTTCTGGCATGTGTCCTCAGGGTGTGCGTCTGGGGGTGCGTCCTGATTCCCCTGCATTACCCCGCCCTTCCAGAACCATCAAAGTGGAGACTGGCTGTAATGTTGGAAACCCATGTAGCACATCCCCTTGTCCTGCCCACAGCCAATGTACGGACGAATGGGATCGACACAACTGTATTTGTGAACCAGGTAAGCTATGAGTTGTGAAAATGAAAATGTTTCAAAAACATACAATGATCTTCACTAATGAACTTGCATTTTTAAAATGTAACGCAATTTTTCATTACAATTTATATAACCAGCAAAATAATTTGCAATTTAAAAAAAAAAAAAATCATTCAGTATCCTAAAACTTTTTTTATTTCCAGATTTAAGTTTTTTAATCACATATTTTCAATGTGGTGTTAGATGCCTGCATATATAATATGTATTAATAATACATTGAGCATGCCAGGGATTTCCATGCTAACAGTCTGATAGTTCACCCACACAGATAAGAAATTTACATTTTCAAGATCTGCCTGTGTTTGTATGAGCTCCCATCATGTCTAAATGAAGATACAGACTCGTTCACTTCATTATTATGCTGTGAGAGTTGCATCAGCCCAGTGTTATTAATAGTGCTGTGCAGAAAAAGAAATCAAAGACTCCCCTCATAAACTCTGAATTAATTTCTCAGACCCCCTCCTGGTAGAGTAGACCCACACGTACAACCTCACACACACACACATGCACAAGAGTGCCTAAATTTAAGAACTATCTCTCTCCTTCTTGCTCTGTTGTTTGTTAGACTCCCATACGTAATTTAACGTTCTTAATATGTCTGTGCACTGCAGTGTGCTAGTGCTAGAATAAAGTCACTTTTTCTGAGGGCTTTATTGTAATCTTGTTGTGATTTCCATATCATTTAAAATAATGGAAAGCTTCACTGGAAGAGCATATGGTTGTATTACTGCATTCCGTTTCTGATGAGCTTTTCTTCATTCATCTTAATAGGGTTTTCACACATTTATATTCAGTAGTACAAACATCTCTCTGCTGAAAGAGAGAGAGAGGGAGAGAGAGAGAAAGGAGGTTCTTTTTATTTTTGGTTATATGTCTTTTTTGATCAGTGGTCGTGCAGATAAAGGCTTTTCAAGAGTGAAATACTCTGGTGAAGATAAGATCAAGGCTGCATGCGCTGTTTTAGGTGTTGTTATGAGTCGAGAGTGAAATACTTTCTGGCCAGTCAGCTTCTATCTGTTTTATGCCTTCAAATAAATATGTATGTGAAGGGTTTTTTCCCCTCAAGTTTATTTAGTTGTAGGTTTCATTTGGGCATATGTATAATTTTCTTCATTATCTAGATTGGATTTCATAATTTGAAATACCCCCCTGATATTAACTTAATTATGTTAATTGTATTTTATTTGATTCCTTTTTACTCTTTAAACTGGCAGGTTTTTTTTTGCTGCTTTGCCTTTAAGCCATGTGAAATGAGTAACAGCATAAGCTGAGGGTTTGCTGTCGCATCCGATATATTTGGCACTGCTTCATTCTGCATTACATTTTTGTATGTTCACAAAACATTTCACTTTGAAGCATGTCGCTCAAACTGTCATGGTTGAATTGATGTGATCAGTCAGAAGTTGAAGTTTACCTTCAATGAATGATCTTTTGAGCACTAAAAGTGTTTTTAGCCATCTCCATCCATCTGTCAAACAGATGGTGATCCCCAAAATTCACATCATTGGTTGAGCCAACTGATAGCAGTCACAGTGATCATACTTTTCAGTGAAATAAACATATGAATAGCTTACTTACAGCCTCTCTGCATTTTAAGATAAAAAAATTACACACCTAATCTTTAAATATCAATGATACTTGAGGTTTGTTTTGCAACTTTTTTTTTTTTTTTTCAAATACAGGATTCTATGGTAAAAGTTGTATGGATGCATGTCAGCTGAACCCATGTGAGAATCAAGCAAAGTGTCACAGGAAGCCCAGCTCCTCTCATGGATATATCTGTGACTGTGAGGACAGTCACTACGGACAGTACTGCCAACACAGGTACACATTCATACACACCAAAACCATGCGTAATTAACCCTTTCACACAATGCGCACAAATACACACTAACAAACACATCACTACTTGAATTCACGCTCTCCTATTTTCTTAAAGGGGTCATATAATGGTACATGCACTTTATTCAAGTTGACTGTATTGAAATGTGTGTTGGCAGTGCCTGTACACAACCTTCATATTTTGATAAAAATCCATCCAGTGCTTTTTTTTAATCTCCTTATATGTTTTCCCCTTTCTCAAATCGAGTCACATGGTCGGACGCCCCTCACACGATTGTTGATTGACAGCAGCATTTCAACATAGACCCGCCCTGAGCAAGCTGTCATCATAGTCCGCCATTGTTGATCCATAGAGCAGAATGGCGTTTAAGCGATTGTGGTGTTCTGTTCTTTGGTGTAATAACGAACACAGCAGTCATGTTGATGTTCCTAAATCCAAACCGCTGAAGACACAGTTTTGTTTTCGAAGGGAATATTCCCCACAAGCAACATCAATGCGTTAATGTTTATGCAAATCGTTTCTCACCAGACTGCTTTATAAACGAGGGTCAAGGGGGTTTGCTTAGAAGCTGCTCCTGAAAAAAAAATTCGTACCAACTATTCGTGCACTTCCAGAAGAAGTGTGTAAAGTTTTATTAACCTTTAAAATTTTGGACTAAGGTTTACACTCAGGGTACATTACGGCATGTTTTCTATGTACGACTTTCTCAATATAATTCATAATCCCACATTTATAATGAACGCGTGGTTATTGTGTTATTACAAACTGTCTATGTATACATCAGTAAACACATAGCATTCGTATTTCTCTACTCTACCCTGCCGGTACATACAAAGATAGATCAAAGTGACATTACGTTAACCAACCATTCAGAAACGCCCTGTTCGAGACTTAATTGTCCAACTTTTTCGGGCGTCATCTTGTTCCGGGTTCGACTTCGGTTCAAACTGATACGTTTGCACAGATGCGTCTTCAGAGACTCCCGCTGCCATTCTTTCTCCGAAATATACCCTCAACTGTTGTCGAGGCAACACTCCACGTGTGTTGTCAAAACGCCCCACAGAACAGAAAGGCGGGGTGAGAAATGCTCATTATCATTTAAAGACACTTGAACGGCGAGATTTTTTTATTTAGACCCTAATGAATCAAATTAAATTGTATGAAAATGGGATTATATGACCCCTTTAAACATTGTCCTGTTGCAACACACCTAAAACAAGGCAAATTTTGTTGCGTATTGTTTACCTTTTAATTTTTTCCCCCATTTTTTTCCCCCTTTGTTTTAAGCAGAAATGTAACCAAATTTAGTGTGATTTATACTTGAATCATACCAATGGGTTAATGGAAATATATTTACATCAAGATATATTTTCTGAAAACAAATCTTTTTAAATTAACAGTTTTATCAAGAAAATGTAACTTTGTTATAAGGTTGATTTTGATGGGAAACAAGAGAAAAATACTGAAAAGGATTTCTGCCGTGTTCCTCCTCTGTCCTTTAGCCCAGTTACTCTTATTCTGATCTGTAATCTCTAATAAGTTTACAAGCAAATGTACCAGTAAGATAATCAGTGAGAGATGGACAAAGACTTTATAGATACATTCAGATTTACGGACGAATTTGTGAGCCTATGTGAGGTTTTTTTTTTTTTTTTTTTTTTGTCACACTAATCCAGTGTTCAAGCTTATCCAAAAGGCTGGATGTGTATGGCGGGTAGGTTTGTGTTCATGTTAATGATGCATTTGTTCTGCTTAACCACATGCATGCGTGTGTGCTTAAGGTTTGATGCCTTTGAACGGATGAAAGTAGACTTAAGTTTGCCGACAGAATGTGACTCATGACCCTAAATCAACCCCTACTTCAAACACACACACACACGCTCAGCCAAATCCTTCACAACAGCGGCAATCTCTGCAATCTGGTCTCTTTTATCTGTCGGCTCCATCTCTCTCTATCTTGGTGTCATGCTGGCTCGCTGTCTGTGTCTGATCTGCCCTAGATACATAGGTATTTGATCAAATCTAACTGTGCGTCTGTTTGTAGGATCGAGCAGCAGTGTCCTCGTGGATGGTGGGGCAGCCCGACATGTGGACCCTGCCACTGTGAAGCAAGTAAAGGCTTTGACACAGACTGCAATAAGACCACTGGACACTGCCACTGCAAGGTATACACAAATAAATAGTCAACCTAAGAAATAATAATATAATAAATATGATCCAGGCTTGTGCAAAATTCTGAATTTCAGAATTGGCCTGCATTTAATTCATGAATTGGAATTTGAATTGAATTGACTATACACCCCACAGGAAGTTGAATTGGAATTGGAATGACAGGAAGTGGAATTAAATTCATGGCAATTCAAAGAAATTCCACACAGTCACACAACAGAAAGAATGTGTTGAATCTCACATATATTCAGTGTTCGGAAGGTTACTTTGGGAATGTAATTGCTCACTGTTATAAGTCACCCATTATAAATGTGGTTTGGATTATTTTATTTGGATTACTTTATCAATGTAAAGCAATTTCCTTTTAATTTGTTTAGTAACTAATTGAATTACATATTTTACCTCAGTAATACAACTAAAAACAATTACATTCATTTTGTAATTTAATAACATCATTTAATTACACTTACCTGCAACTAGTCAATCCTCTTCGATTCCTAAACCTTCTTAGAGATGCACAAGACTACTCTATCCACGCTGCATAAGAACATGCCATACTTTCTCAGGATCAGCTGTCACGGACATTAAAGCTATTCCAACAACAGTAGCTTCATAAGCATGCCTAGTGTTATTCTCCTCAGAGAGCACTTCATGTTCCTGTCCTTCTCCGAGTTCCAGGGGAGTGAAAGCAGACTTTCTCAGGATCAGCCTGATTTTTCGATGTGTATTTTTGCTGTTAGAGCTTTTAAACACACAGTTTACATTTAATATACACATTCCTCTTTTTTTGTGCAATTTGCATTACCAAATAACATGAATTCAGAGACTTTTCACAAACACTCATTTTGCCATTTACAGATAATATCTTCCAGTTCTGCTCTTTATATAGGACTAACTAGTTATAGTCAAAAACAAACATGTATTTACATGTATTCAAATATGAACAGTACTTGTTTTGAGTTGGTACTATTTTTAGGAGTAAATGCCTACTGCATACAGAATTGCTGGTCAGGGAAGTGTTAATTGGTTTGTGTGTGTGTGTTTAAGTGTAATTAAGGGATTAGAGATGTTTCTCCACTCTGGGGTGCTATAATAAAGCATTACTCACCCTTACACTGTACTGCATCAGGCTTTTCATTATCCGTGTATTACTCTCCAATATCCGTGTATTACACTCCAATCGCAAAGGAAAACATCAACACACACAATCTTATAAGGCTTTTGAAATATACAGTTAAACCTTTTTTATTATAATTCTAGCTATTATGTTTAAAACATGCATGCCAATATTTTTGTATGTTATAATTTTACTATGGTTTGTGATTTAAAAATATATTGTTATTATTTTTAATCAGTATTGTATAAATACATGTGTTCATATAGATGTTTTTGTGTGTATCAGGAGTTTCATTACCGACGGCGGGGCAGTGACGTCTGCCTGCCATGTGACTGCTACCCAGTGGGCTCCTTTTCTAGGTCGTGTGACCCCGAGAGCGGCCAGTGCCAGTGCCGACCCGGCGTGATTGGCCGACAGTGCAACACGTGTGACAATCCGTTTGCTGAGGTCACACAGACAGGCTGTGAAGGTACATACCCATCCATCCAACCAACCAGTAATGCCTCCTTGTAACAGATATTTGTTAATCATTTCCTCACCCACTTTTCTCAGTGATCTATGATGGTTGTCCTAAGACCATAACATCAGCAATCTGGTGGCCCAGAACAAAGTTCAACCTGCCTGCTGCTGTCCCTTGTCCCAAAGGATCAGTTGGTGAGCTTGTAGATTCATATCTGTGTCTTATGTATCTTTTTTGGAGTCCATCTACGTAATCCATCAGTCCATCTTTTTTTTTTTTTTTGAAGGAACTGCAATCCGGCACTGTGATGGAGAGAGAGGATGGCTGGACCCTGATCTGTACAACTGCACCTCTCCTCCTTTTGTGGAGCTAAACACAGCTGTGAGAAGCTATGATTTCATTATTATTTATTTACTATATTAAGGGCTGTTTAACACAATTTTTTCATCTTCCAGAAAATAAAGTGTGTGTTTTTTTTTTTTGTTATAATATTGAAAATTATGTAGGGATGTGTGGCTATTAAAATTCTATATAATTGGCAATTAATGTTTTCATGTTGGGGCTCATAACTAATAAATGGTTGATATTAAAGTTCGGCACTATTTTTAATTTGATTTTCTAAAGATTGCTTTTAACATCTTAGTAAATTATAATTTTTTTTGAAGATTTATTTTAATTGATTGTGATTTTTGATTTCAGCAAAGCTAATTTAAATTTAAAAATGAGCATGCACTATTTTTAATGTCCAATATCAACCGATAGATGAAAAAAATCTAACTGATATCGTACCGATATATTATTTTAATGGAGCCTGCAAGTTATTCAAATGTTTATTAGGATTTGGTCTTAATTATAATTACAAATACATGTACTTAATTATAATTACAAATACATATAATTACAAATAATTACAAACACATGTAATACATATATTTATATAACATCTACAAATCATTAATCTACATGAAACTAAATCAAATCTCAAAAGTGTTGCTGAAACGTTTTAATCGTCATAAATGAATTGAATACACATAGCTCATTTAGACAGTGTAAAACAGAGCTAAGGTCCATAACTTTCTCACAGTGATGCATAGAGTATTGGAGCTGCTTGTCTACATTATTTAACCATTTTTTCAATGTGTGTGTGTAGCTGGAGGCCTTAGAGAGAAATGAGACAGAACTCAGCACCATCATTGAGAAGAAACTGGCCCATCAGCTTCGTGATGTCACAGAGGCAACAACCCGTCTCTATGGAAATGACCTTCAGATAGCCGAGCGGCTGCTGTCTCGCCTCTTAACCTTTGAAAGCCTCCAGTCAGGCTTTGGGTTAACAGCCACTCAGGATGCACATTTCAATGAGGTGTGCGTTACCTTAGGGAAACCGATGAATAGCTTGAAATTTAAAATTCACATTTTCAGATAAATGAGACTAGTTGATTAACGCCTTGTTCGTTTCTCTCTCACACTGTGTCTCTATCTGCAGAATGTGTTACGGGGCTGTAGTGTTTTGTTGGGTCCGGGCAGCGCTGCTTTGTGGAGAGGTCAAAGTTCAGGTCAGAGCGGAGCGGCGGGATTGGCTGATCTGTTGGAGCAGTACTCCCGCATACTAGCCCAGAACATGAAACAGACCTACCTCAATCCTGTCGCACTCGTCGCCTCAAACATCGGTCAGCATCAATACACAACAAACACATACACTTACATGCAATAGTTTGGGGTTCATTTTTTTGTTTTCTTTTTAAAGAAAGGAAATTTATTCAGCAAGGATACATTAAATTAATCAAAAGTGACAGTAAAGACATTTTATAATGTTACAAAAAATTTCAAATCAATTCTGTTTTTTTTTAACAATAAGTGTACATTTTGATAATAGTAGGTATTACTTGAGTACCAAATCAGCATGTTAGTAGTATTTCTGAAGTGAAAAGAGGGTGAAAAGTTAGGTAAAAATTCTACCTCTCTGAAAATTGTTTTCAGATCAAATGTTTTCTTTTTCTTGAAATACACAAAATGTTTTTCACTGCATTTATAACATTTAAAGCATTTCTGTTGATTTGTTTATTTTTTTATTTGTGAAGGAACCTTTCAATTTTGAAAGTTTCAAGACCAACAAAGGATATATATATATATATAATAATGTATGTATAATTATTTTGTATATATATAAATACACACACATGCATGTATATTTAACAAAAAAATATTATTTATATATAAAATATTTATATTTATGTATAATATATAAATTATATATAAATCTATATACAGTATATACATGTAAATATTTCTTAAATATATACAAGCATGTGTGTGTATTTATATATATATATAAAATAAATATACACAGTGCACCCACATGTACTGTATTATGAAAACACAAACTTTTATTTTGGATGCGATTAATCGCGATTAAATGTTTCACAGCCCTAATATATATACATAGACACACAAACTAATTATGAATTATAATATATAATAAAATAGTCATCAAAATTAAATTGATGGAACAACATTGTGAAAATCAAAAGGATTTTAGTAACGATAGAGCAGACTGCATATATAAAAACAGATATTAAATATCAATCCCCACTTTAAACATATCCTGTTAAAATGATATTCTTAATACATTTAATTTAATCATTAAATAATTTGTTGATCATTTTACGTTGATGGACATATTACTGTAAATGGTGTGTGGAAAGCACTTCAAATTTGGAGGACATAGAGGCTTAGCCAGCTGATGGTGAAGTAAATATTGGAAATATTATGTCATGTGCAGTGTGAGCTAAAGCTGAGAAAGATCAATGTGAGACTAACACCTGCACTGTGCACCTTCGGAATGATTTGCAGAAACTGCAACTGCAGCACTACAGAGAGCAGATCTATTAAAAGAATCCTGTAGTTCACACAGTGTGTGTTTGTGTTTTGCAGTCATGACTCTGGATCGTGTTGACAACCACACACATGTGCGGCGGCGTTTTCCACGGTATCACAGTACTCTGTTCCGAGGTCAAGCGCTTTGGGATGCTCACACACATGTTGTGCTGCCCCCTACTGCACTAGTGCCACAACGCAACATCTGTAAGTCACATTCACAGTCTCTTATCTTTAAGATCGCATAAAAGGCATAAAACTATTGAGCACTACTTTGTGTTTAGTTTCAGCTCCATCTCCTGCTGGCCCTGTAAACCTGTTGGCCAATCAGACGCTAGATGCGACGGTACCCCGCCGTTCTTTGTCCCTACAAGAGGCGCCTGTCTCTATTGTCATCCTCCTCATCTATCGAAGCCTGGGTGCCGCACTTCCTCCTAAATACCACACAGACCGTCGCGGCGTCAGGTTAGAAATGGTCTAAATTAAAGATCACTTCAGAGTCAGATAATGTGTATATATGTGAGTTTGATCCTCTTTCTGACCATGTATGTTCATCTCTGCAGGTTACCCAGACACCCTGTGTTGAACTCGCCTGTGGTGAGTGTGTCTGTGTATAATAACCAGACCTTCGTGGAGGGTTTTCTGGACACTCCGGTCTTGCTGGAGTTTCGTCTTCTAGAGACCAGCAACCGCAGCAAACCGCTGTGTGTGCAGTGGAATCACAGCAGCTCGTGAGTCTGTTTGCTGTCCTTATTTACTCAATTTTATGTCTCAAAAACAAATAAAACCACTATTTGGGACAAAATCGACTGACCAAATCATTCAATTGCATTATACTTGCATTAAACTACCAGTCAAAAGATTTTTTTTTGTTTAATTAGAGGGTTAGTTCACCCCAAAATGAAAATTATAAGGGGAGTGAATAGTAACCTTTTTGAAGGCCAAAAAAAGCACATCCATCCTTCATAAAAGTAATAGGCTCCAGGGGGTTAATAAAGGCCGTCTGAAGCGAAGCGAATCGTTTTTGAAAGAAAAATATAAAAAAGCATTCAAATAGAATAGGAAAAAACGTGCATAAGACATTACACTTTCACAAATTCTTACTATTCACTCCCATTATAAAGCTTGGAAGAGCCAGGATATTTTTTAATTTGGTTTGTCATACACACCTAGGATGGCTTAAAGGTGAGTAAATTATGAGGTAATTTCCATTTTGGGGTGAACTAACCCTTTAATTTGTTAATCTGGTGATCAAACTATTTTTTGGGGGAAAACACTGATACACTTCTTTCAGGATTATTTGATGGATATAAAGAATCAACAGGATTTAATTGAAGTAGAAATCTTTGTACTTTATATATTACTTTTGAAAGGTAATGTATCAAGTTTTCCACAAAAATATTAAGCAGCAAAACCCGTTTTAAACATTGACAATAATAAGAAATGTTTCTTGTGCTGCAAGACTCGAAGAATGATGCCGAAAATTCAGCTTTCAGGATTTTAAATTGTCACAATGTTTCATAATATTACTGACTTTACTGTATTTTTTGGAGTCATAGTGATCATAACAGACTTTAGCCACATAAAATATTTCTGACCCAAATTGTTTATTGTGTTTGTGTATATTGTAACTGTATGGAATACATGGTAAATGCTCTGAACGTGTGTTCAGTGTATTAACAGGAGGCTGCTGGACTGTGAGGGACTGTAGTGTGGTCTATAGGAACATGTCACATGTTCGCTGCCAGTGCCACAGACTGGGAACCTTTGGAGTCCTTATGGACAGCTCACAGAGAGAGGTACAGTACACACAGATACACACAGAACAATCAAGGCCACATAACTACTATACAGCTCTTCTTCACAAAAAGATTCACATTTTCCAAGTTTTTCAATAATACATAGCAATAGGATGTTCAGTAGTGACATTTTCCTTCAGCATAATCATCACTGCTAATATATATTTTCCTTTCTCTCTCTCTCTCTCTCTCTCTCTCTCTCTCTCTCTCTCTCTCTCTCTCTCTCTCTCTCTCTCTCTCTCTCTCTCTCTCTTGTTAAGCAGCAGTTAGAGGGTGACCTGGAGACCCTCGCCATAGTAACGTACTCCTCGCTCTCAGTTTCCATGGCGGCATTGTTGCTAACAGTCGTGGTTTTATCGTGCCTGAGGGGACTAAAATCAAACACACGCAGCATTCATTCCAACATGGCTGCCGCTACTCTACTTTCCCACTTCACATACCTGCTGGGCATCAACCAGACGGAACAACAGGTCAGAGAAGAGAGATGTCTGCGTGTGTGTCTGAATCTAAATGTGGGTTAGTAAAACAGACAAAGAAAGTCTGGTTTGGCAAGAACACAAAAACACTATAAAAATCAAAAACACAGTCTGTGCAGTCTCCTTTATGCTGAATGGTATTTGTAGATTGAATCAATCAATCAATCAATCAGTAAATAAATAAACTGGTCAAAAGAGACAGTAAAGACGTTTATAATGTTATTTTTTTTATAGCAAATAAATTATGTTCTTTTGAAATTTCTGTTCAACAAAGAATCCTTGAAAAATATATCATGGTTTCCACAAAAATATTAACAAGCACTACTGTTAGTAATCATCAACATTTATAGTAATAAGAATATATATGTGTGTGTATATATATATATATATATATATATATATATATATATATATATATATATATATATATATAATATTGTGTGTGTATCAGCATAATAAAGATTTATTTATTATGATTTATCACAAATTTTTCATTATACTGTGTAAACATAGTAATTCATATGTTTTTTTTTTCTTTGTTTTAAAATACCAATATCCTTAGACTTGAAGTATTTTGGAGCCCACTTACACTTTACATTTTACAGCTTTTATAAAGCCAAGTGTAACAGCAGGTATTAAAATCATGAATATTTCAGTATCAAGATGGTTGTCAGGATAAAGCACTAAGCAGCTCGAATATCATTTGTCATTCAGAAACAGACATTACAGCCATTAGCGCAATATGATTCAAAAACCACTTACACCACACAGTGAGTTGGGAATCCGACATTATTAAACACTTTTTCTGACACACACTCTTTCCGTGTCTCTCTTCCTCAGACAGACACTCACACATTATATCTCTTTCTAAAGCCGTTTAACGCCATTTTTTGAGCAAACCACTTACACTAAAAGCCTGTTACTGCTGAGTTCATTAATTTCAACTGCTGGGCTGGGATGTGGGTGTGTATCTGTGATAGAGTATGTGTTCATTCATTATTCATCTTCTCT